ATATATATACACATATATACAATATATATATATAATATATATATATACATATATATACATATATATAATATATATATATACCATATATACATAAATATATCATTCATAAGTCATTCTATTTTCATGGATTGTATATTTATGCGATTGTTATTGATCTAATTAAATCAAAGCGCATTTAGTGACCCATGGATCGTTTGTAAGTCACTATATAAATAATATTACACTTTAATAAATTAATCAAAATGATTTAAATGGAAAAAGTGTAAATATACAATGACTTTTAGAACATATCATAAATGTGTATATTTAGCGATTATCATAATAGACCTACTACATTTAAATTAAATCGTATTTTATGACTCACGGATTATTTTTAAGTCATTATATCAATAATATTACACTTTATTAAATTAATTAAAATTATTTTAAAGATTACTTAGATTTACATTGTTGTATTGAATGTAGGCCTAGGTCTGACAAATCTTTCGCTCAATTATTATGTTGTTACTGTTGTTTACATTTTCAGATATTCCGGTTTAATGCCATTTTACTATGGCCAAAAATTGCAAAATAGTTCACAAAATGAACGAAAACGAAAAAGCCGTGTAGGCCTGAACAACAACACAACAATGGATGCCGCAATTAAATCTAACACGACCTTTAAAGCATACAGGCTTGTACAACTACAGTATTGCATATTATACCTATCTCTACTTACCTATATTATGTACATTTTCCTAACTTATGAGAAACTCCATTCCAACATTCAATATTTTAGAAGATGTTTTTGCAACGACGTGTCTACGATGCAGTAGTTTACATAGGCCTACACGCTTGCTTTCACCTCAATTTGGATGTTATCATACAGGTGCATAACCAACCAAGTATCTGACGGGAAATTGCTGCTAAAGACAGTAGTGCCAGGATAAACATTTTTATACCTCCTTTGATAAACCTACGAATTATTTGTTCAGCGCTCGCCCCTTATTAGCACGCACCCTCGAATTGGTCTCCTAGCACTGGGGCCGAAACGGTATCCGACTAGTTTGTCGAAATCCAGTTTGCCTATCCAAATTATGTTATTTTAATTGCCAATCCGTAATATTGTGGTCTAAAAGCACAATTTGGGACATACTAAGCTCCAAAATAAATCTCAACGAGAACTTTTTATGCCGGGACCCTGACAGGGGCTCTAGTCAGCCCCTTGAATAGAGTGTATTGTATATCATTATTATATCTTTATTTATTCATTTCCTTTAGGCCTATGCCTTCATATTATTGTCTTAATTAAACTTTATATATTTTATATATTATAGATATGCTTATAAGACATTTTATATGACGGGCCTTTTTATTTATTTATTTATTTTTTTTTTTTTTTGCTGATAGCCAAATTGATAATCAAGTTTGATTTACAGAATAAGACAAATCTAATCATTAACTACAATAAGCAGTTATTTATTATACGAATACACAGTGATCGCATCGCATTTCGCATTGGCCCGGCTTCTAAATTCTAATTTCGCAATTCTGTCCGGCCATGACTTTCGGCTGGTTCACCAGTTCGTACAGACGCAGTCATGATACTAAGAGAGTGCTCTATCGCGAATTTTATTCTGTTTTTAATGTACCACTGCTTTTGATTGACTTTCGGCAAACTGGGTTTCGGCAAAATGGGATTCATTGTTTTTGAGTCGGCAAACTGACATTCGGCAAACTGAGTTTCGGCAAAGTGGACTAGGCACTCTGGGATTCGACAATCCGGGCCAGATCCGACGAAACCTCACCACCAGGCCCTCCCCCAGCCCCACTCGGACGTAATGCAGTGACGGCGCCATAGATTTTCCGATGAAGATTCCAACTTCTCGACAATCCATGCCACGAAAATGTACCCTGAGACTGTAGGCCTAGTGTTCGCTACGAGAATTTTCGACAGGAATCCAGGATCCCGTTTCCCCAGATCACCCATCCTCCACCACAGATGGTGGTGCCGACATTACATTATAGCCTACACAGAGGAAAACAACAGAAAGTTCACTCATCATTTTTTTTTTTTATCTTTGATATCTTTGGGGGTAGTTTTTATCTAGTTTAAATAACTTTTTAATATATATTATTTTTATAAATAAATTAGAAATACCGGGGATAACATGTGGGGGATTTTTACCTGTGTTATATTTACTGTATTTAATATAGGCTGTTTACAGTTTACTACTACACTGAGTCGACCCTTTCAATACTATTTTAATGTAAATATTGTTTGCAAATTACCGTACTATAAAAGGACTAAACTAGACTGACAGCTTCGTACCTGCCATCCGAATGAAAAGATAATGGACCATTCCGATGTCCCAACCCTTGAATATTAAAAAAAATAATAACCCTAGATGCGGAAATAGCATGGCATCCGTAGTCACTTCTCCTATGGGCGACTAGATACCCAACGAACCCTCGGTCGACGGCCCGGAATAAAAACTCCCTTGCAGGGTTGACGGGGAGAGTTTTTATGGCTTAATATGTAGGGGGCCAAAACGTGCGTTGGATGACACGGGGTCCAAGCCACCACTGCCCTTGGATTGGGTCCACTCATAAACTTCCCCACACTATTTGTAAATCCTGGCTACAGCATTGATGATTAGCTGGGGGGGCTCGATGATCAATTGAGTAGGGAATAACTCGCAAAATAAGGTGATTTTAGGTGATTTTTAACTATTTGACCATGATTTTTTTTGGGGGGAGGGGGTGCGAGAAATTTTGGAGGGGCGTGCACCCCCACCCCCACACTCTTGATGATGCTCCCAAAAATATGCATGCAATTAAACGCAGTTCAAAAACAGCAAATCTGTCATCACAAAGATTTATTTCAGAGGATCACACAAACTTGAAATTCAATTACATAGCAAATAAGCAGAGTATTGCATACACAATGCCCATTAATGGCTTCTGTAATGTAACTAGGGGAGGACTCCTCCATGCGTTATACTAAGTCTTTATCGGCATATACTAGAGGACTATCTAAAATTATTTTGCACATTTTAATTTGATTGTATATTAAAATTAACAGGACTTTAAATTGGTCTAGGCCATCATTTACACACTGATTAAAATTAGATAAAATATTCAAGACCACATTTGTTGAAAATCAACTTCTTATGTAAGTGCTACAATTATGCTAGGATGTGATATTGCAACAGAAAATAACACACATTTAATTATATCACATTTTATAATATTATCACTATTCAAGTAAAGTAACTGAGGTTCTAGAAAGTCGTATGAAAATACAGACCTATCTTAAGTATAATTCATCTCATTTACAGTAAGAACAGCATTTGCTTACAAATATACAAGCTTATGAATTACCTGCCTTTACAATCATTGTACACTTAAGTATATTTTTAAGTTCGTCAGTAGAAACGTTAATACTAACACTACCTCATGAGTACTGATTTGCTGCAATAGCATATTATAAAATAACAAATAAATAATACAAATATTAAAACTGAAACTCAAATAATAGCAATTGTAATATCATTTCCAACACTAATTAACACACTTTTTTTACATAGATATTTAATTTGTTAAGAAAAACATATTTGTTCAAATTAGGATTGGAATTCAAGTTCCTTTTGTTACCAACTAATAGGCAGTGGTTATTGTTACACCAGTCTTAAACAAATTCCTAATTCTGATTGGATGTTATTGTATATATGAATTGCATTAAGACAATAGTATCCAATCAGAATTAGGAATTGGTTGAAGACTGGTCTAAAAATAACCACTGCTATTATGCTAAGCTTGATTTTTCAATAGTACACATTATCTGAATAAAATTATTGCATAATACACAAAATTCATGGATATCGTGTGATTTATACTGTAATTATACAACTAAAATTATGAAGCAGAAAGCATGACACTAATTATTATTACAGGGTCACTACTGCCTACGAATGACAACAAAATCACACATATAACTAATACTGTGGTAATTTATATTTTTTCACACATGAAACACTATACGTTGGGTAATTATTTAATTTACACTTGTGCAAGAACAGCAATTTAACTGTAAATTGCATAAGGATGATGTGGTTGTTACATGCTAATATGTACTAATAAACGCAGAGATAATTATTTTGTATATTCAATGTATAACACGCAAGGGCATTACAGTATATATACACGAGGAATAAAGATGATCATTTGTGTGTATCAACCCAGTCAAGGAGCCAAGTCTTGAACAGGGCAGTGGTAGCACAGTAGGGGGTCCAGGTGGGGGGTGCAAAGAATTTCTCCAATGGGCAAGACTGAACCCCTGTCGGAGAAGAAGCCTACTGGAATTTCAGGCGCCACCACTGCATAAGGGTTAGCAAGAGTCAATCGGTATTTGTCGATGATAGTGTTCTCAAAAAAAAAAGATTGCTAACAATAGCAGTATGTTTATTGTATTGTTTGATTGCCAATTCACCTTTCATCAATATTTGGATTAATTCAATTGCATCTAAACTAATACATGGTGATATTATTATTATGCAAGACAAGTGGCATAAACTCTGTGAAGTAAACTTTGCAAATTAGTATATACATGAAAGCATATATACAGTACCTATTCTATACATAAAATAATTTTAAAATTTTAATCAAAGCTTATATTCCATAACTTATACTTTTAAAATTATGTTTCTACAGGATTAATATTAGTGAAGTTTTGAGCGATAGAAATAATTAAATTGAATTATATTTCATATACATATAATAATTTGCAATATTATTTGTCGTATGTGTCTTTGGTAAAATCCATTATAAGCAATTACTGAAGTGTATAATAAATACTAGATCTGATCTTGGTGTTCTTTTCTAATGGAGTATATTTTACAATGGACTAGAAATATTTATTATGTTGCAAAAGAAATTTAAAATGATATAAAATGATAAAAATTTTCTCTGCATTCAATGTCTATTCGGGACATTGATATCACAAACACTGGTTCATTGTCAATGTTAGCAGACCTCCAAAAGCTGCTATCCCAATCTGCTCAGCCCTGATCATGGAACCCTTAACTACATAGTACTTTCAAACCCGTAAACATACAAAATATGTAATAAAATATATATATATATTTAAATACATAAATAGAAATGATTGCAAGTAGTAATCTTGTAAACAAAGATTGTGTTTGTTCATGATGATCTAATGATTTATAAAATAAATTTTAAATGTTTGTGCATTAATATATTTATTCACATTACTTTGATCATGTTTTTTTTGAAGATGCAAGTTTAACTTCGCCCTCATTTTACTTTACTACATTACATAATATTTTCTATTCCTCTTTTTTATCATCTGATTCATCCTCCTTATCATCATCATTGTCGGCATTATCATCCTTTTTATCATCTGATTCATCTTTCTTATCATCTTCATCCTTATTTTCTTCATTTTCATCTTTTTTATCATCATCTTCATCTTCCTTCTTATCATCATCATTTTCTTCTTTCTTTTCATCATCATCATCATCTTTATCATCATTTTCTTCTTTCTTATCATCATCACCTTCATCACCATTTTCTTCCTTTTTATCATCTGTATTACTACTGTCTTCTGCTTCAGTGGCTACCTCCAATTCTCGTTCTGTTTTCTTGTCATCTTTATCATCAGAAATCCACCTGTAAGATGTTAAAAAAGATGGAAAACAGACATCAAACTATAAATTTACAAATAGTCTTTAGCACACAAAATTATTATCCATTTTTATTTGGTTCTAATAAATTCATTCAGCCTGTTGTTATTTTTATATATATAAAAATAATGAGTAGTTAATTAATTTATTTATTTGCACTCTAGGGCATAGAGGCCTCTGTATTATGCGCTATACAAATACCGCTTATTATTAAGATATTCCCCTTAAGTCTGACTTAGTGCATATTATTATTATTATTATTATTATTATTATTATTATTATTATTATTATTATTACAACCCTGTATTGCTTCACATTTACTTCAATTCTGCTATAAATGAACTTTTAATATTGTAATTCATCTTATTATTTTCAAATTTATTGTTGAAATGACCATGTGTGATTATCTTACATGAATGCCACCCATATCAGTCCTTGACCAGTATGCCTGTCGCCTACATAAACATGATGAATGTGAAGACTCAGTAAACCTGCACAAACTACATAACTTAAGATCTAAAAATAATTTTTTAAAAATAGCACTTACTTATTACATTCAAAGACAAATTCTTGTTCAGCAGCTTCTGTTTCTTTGATCATGACCCTTCCCACAAACCAATCTGATTGTTGACCTTCAGCATCATGACCTATGACACACTTCTTAAGCTTTCCAAGGGAGACTGCTTCTATGATGAATGTGTCAGTCTGTCATAAGAAAAATGTTTTCATTGATTACTTTAATCCAAGAGTTATATACCAAAATACAGCCAAACAGACTGGAAATGGAGAGGACAGGATGAGTGTATGGCATTCTTTGATATCTGAGCAGCAAGTATTGTACATTTTTTATATTTCAACCTATTGTTTCAATAACATCTTTTCTACATCCAACCAGTATCCTTTTTTAATAACTCTTTTAAACGTAAAGATTTTTTGTCTTTCAAAAGTACTGTACATCTTTATATTTTTACAAATTTTGATAGTTTTAACAATGTACGAGCAACGAATTTCCGTAAAAAGGATGCAATAAAGTGAGTCTGAATCTGAGTCTATATATGGTAATGATGTGATGTAATTGCTAAATAATTTGCTCTATACTACACACTTTATTGTTTGATTATTGCCAACATGCTGTCCGCGTCGTGTTTGTCTGTTTTTCTGTTTGTCTGAGTCAATGTCTAATTTTTTTTTGGCATATTTTCTATATCGTGAGTGCACTGGCATTTTTTTTTTTTCCCCCTCGAGCACCTCACTTAGGGTGGCCATCTCATTGAGCTTTGCTCTTATTGGTCATTCCCTACCGTTTGCTTTTATTCATTTTATAAAAATGTATCTCGATGGATTTCTTTAAACGGTGAATAAATTAGAACTTTGAAACATATGGTTCATCCCACGCTATTTTTCCATGTACCCCACTAGACTGACAGCACCACCTTGGTTGTACAAGTCTTATGGACATTTTATCTGTGAACCCCAGAAAAAGATATTCCTCGCCTATTAATATTTTTACTTACTGTGCCTTTTTGGAATTTTGCCTTATCTTCAACATTTTTGTACAAGTCTCTCTTTCCGGTATCTCCATTCTCTCCATATATAATGATGTAGGCATTAGCTGTCATGTCTACCCCTTCCTCATCCCCGGTATCTACTTGTACTTTGTACTCAATAACTGAATCACATAAACATTTTAATAAACTATAAATTATATGGTTATTGGTTAAATCACAGAATTGACAAAATCAGTTTCAGGTTGCTCTGTTAACCTTCTATTCTTGAATTTCAGTCTGTACTTCATTTTTAACATTGAACAATTATTAAAATAAGTCACAAGAATCAACATGGTTTATATAATATCATGGGTTACTTTACTAGCATGCATCACATATTATTGGTCATATAATTAACATTGGTCAAATTATTATGGGCAAGGATTCCATAATTAACATTGATTTGGTCAAATGATTATGGGCAACTCACATAATTAGCATTGGTCAAAATAATGATTATAGACAATGGCCACATGATAATAGACCAGGGGTCACATAATTAGCATGGGTCAAATGATTACAAAGGTCACATGATTATAGACCAGGGGGGTCACATAATTAGCTTTCCATGCTAATTATGATTATGATTATGGGCAACTCACATGATTAGCATGGGTCAAGTGATTTTAGGCAAAGTTCACATGATTATAGATTAGGGGTCACAAAATTAGCATGGGACAAATGATTATTTTCTTAAAATGTCCAACTCAAAGAGCTCAATCACCAAGCGCATAGAGGCTTTTTCGCATGATGCGCTCTACAAATCCAACTATTATTATTATTATTATGGTCATGGGCCTCATAATTATTACATTTTCAACAAGGTTACCTGGTGGAGCATCTTTATCTGGATGTACAGCTGGAAACTCTCGAACCACTTCACCATTGTCATGGTCACGGGACAGCCATTTGTTGCAATCAAAAGTGATACTTTCTTTAGATGACATTTTCTGCATGACAACCTATAAAACGATTTATGTAATATCACTATCATATATTATATTTATGTAGCCTAACCACATAATTTGCTTAAATGTTTAAATATCACCACTGACTTTTTACATTAAACAGAAACCATCTAGGAAATTATGTACATAAATGAATACCTATTTGCATAATCATTTACATTAAACAATGGTTTGAATAATGATGACACCTGATATGTATAATTACTTTCAACAGAGATTCAATTTTTTTTGTTTATTCAGCAAATCGAGTCACATTCAGCATTTAAATTTTAATTCAGATTCATGATTTGAATAAGTATTTTGTTTGTATCTTTTGTTTTTTTATTAGCTTACCTGACCTAACAGCCATGACGGGTCATCTCCACTGTTGTCATGAGAGACACGAATCTTGTAAAGTTTACCAATGTCATTCAAGCCAATCTAAATGTATAGCATTAGATGCCAAGTTATTCACAATTAATATATATAAGATGTGTATAAGAGACAGATCTCCATTCTCTCCATGGTTGATTTATTTCTGAACATAAATTTATTTCAACAAATATTTTGTACTCTTTCTGAGAAATTCATCAGGGTAAATATCACATCAAGTACTTATGCAATAAAAATGGTAATATATTTATTTCAATAAATATTTATGATTCCCCGCACACTTATTGATTGAAAAAAATTATGTTTTTATAAAAGCAAATATGATTTTCAAAGAAGTTTTCAGATAATTATTACCTGGAATTCAGCAGTATTGTCAATGTCGAAGAATGTGCCATTGGGGTCATCGCTAAGTACAAGGTCATTGGAGGAGTCTTTACTACCAATTATTGTCATGGAGACCTTTGCATGAGTGCTAGCATTCTCCTCATCACCGGTTGTAATCAGGATTTTCCAGTCTTCTGAGCACATTAAAAAACAAATTTTGTTTTATAATTAAATGTAATCATTTTGTTTCTCTAATTAAATTTAATCATTTAATTAAAACATTGAAATCCTAATCAAAAAAGCTATCAATATCCAATGGATCTAATTAAAGACATTTTACTATGAAAATATTTTTTAATTAATTACCAGATACAAATCTTATTATGTATGAGTCGGATAATTGGCCAGGAATAAGTTTTTTGTACAAGGTAAGCAATTCAGATACTGTATTGATTTTTTGTTTCTGGTTTAGTAGGTAGCGAAATGGCTATGTCTTTCATGTTAGAATCATGAACAATAAGCCAATTGGTGGTTTGAACCGTGTATGCTCGCATCAATGTCAATCAACATAACCAAGCATATACACAACATAGGTTAATATCAATTGACTTTGGATACCACTGGATTACGTGCATGCATAGTTCAAACCATGAATTGACTTATTTATCACTTAAAAATATTACAGTTCACTTATAATAACCAGGGTATGTCATTAGAACATATATTGTATCTTATCAATTATTTTATCCACATACAACATACATGGATGTTTCTTTCCATTGCCAGTAACAACATATTACATCTTCATTATTGTTATACATAACTGAATTACTGGGAGCAACACCTTAAATATTCCAAAAAGCATGGTTTTTACTGACTCTCTTTATTATATGAAACTTGCCTTCAAGTAATGGTTGCAAAACCCTTTCTGTCTTTTGGTCCTCTGAATCTACTGACAACCAATCAGGACAATGGAAACACAATGTGTTGTCATCATCTTCTTCCTCCTTTTTATCATCTTCTCTCTCTTTTTGTTTGTCCGTTTCCTTAATGATATCTTCAGGACTAACAGGTTTAATAGTCACTTTGTCAACCAACCAAGCTGATTCTGTAAGACAATTGATGGAATTTTATTATTTTCTATGTTACATTTATTTTTCAATTTATGAACATTGAAATAAATTAAATATGGACACTAGAATAAATTAAAATAAGGGTAACACAATAGGTAGGGCAAAACATCACTCCACTATTGTAAATGATACTAATAAACAACATGTTTCGACATGTCAAACTCATCATCAGACAACGCTACTAACGGTTTATAACCGGTCAGATGTTTGGCAAATAGCCAAATACTAAGGTAAGTCATGTATACAGCTCAATACATGGTAAGTCATGAATATAAGAATTAGAATGAAAGAATTGAAACATGTCACTTATTGGTATCATTTATTTAACTTCATGCATTACTGCACTCGGACTACTAACTATTGCAAGCAACATACTGACAGAACAGTTAGATATTGGCTTCTTTACTGACCTTTATCCTTTCCATCATGACCTAGGGTAACCTGCTTGACTTCTCCGAGTCCAACAGCCTCAATTTCAAACACATCTTCTTGTCCCTTTTGAAATTTTACATCTTGATTTGACTTTGTAAGCCAGCATTTACCAGAATCACTTTTCTCTCCAGTAATGATGATATATGCATTGGCAGTAGTATCGGAGTCTTCCATTTCCGATGTGGTGATAGTCGTGACATATTGCATCACTGTAAAAGATAAAAATCCAAAAAAATAAAATTATAGGGAAAAAATATGCAAATCTTGCAAATTGAAGGCAAGTTGTCATTAATGATGCTGTTCCTCTGATGAAAATAGGAAGCTTTTGATTGCATGACGATGTTAGGATGTAGAACGTAATAACATCACTAAAAGCCATTTGTGAATGCGAGAACGTTAAGTTCTTCTCGTTGCGTGGATTCTATGACGCAATTTGTCCAAATCTACATATGCAGTGAACATAGGATGCCTGGTAGGACGGTCACGCATGAGTGATTCCTTTCTAGCGTCGCGTCAGCGAACAAATCAAAAGCTCCCTCATGTTTGCCATACCTTGTGGCTCTTCAAGCTCTGGCCAAACTGCAGGCACCTCAAGCATAGCATTAGACTTTCCATCCGAGCCACCGACCCATTTATTCAACCTCATACTAAACTCTTCATTGGTGTCTTCATCTTTCATTTTAATCTGAAGTTAAGAAATATACAGAATATTATTTAAAAAATACAAATGAAAAAATTATTGATAACCAGAAGTAATTTGAATTAAGGAAAAAAAACACCCTTTTTTTCATGCACAGTAAATGATGTAAGTGATTCAGGCCGTCTTACAAAGGGTCTCTGCCACTGCGCCAAAATGGCAATGAATAATGATTGCTTGAATCACACTATTCAGATTCTCATACAATAATGCAAATGTAAGTTATCAATTCTGTAAAGAAGTTTTGCTAATGATGACCGATGTAGTAAAATCATCAGAATTTATTTATCTCATGCTAATTTCCAATTCATATTGTTAACATTTTTGATTTGGGGTTAAAAATAACAGATAACCAATCTTCCACCAACCTTACCTTTTCTACAAACCATGATTTATTATCTTCTTCGCTCTCAAGGTGAAATCGTAGTTTCCAAATTCTTCCAATTTCTTTTAAAGATACCTAAAAATGTCAAAGGAATAAGTCTCTATCCTTAATTCTCTTAATATTAATACTTATGGACCATAAGATTAAACATTTTTCTTAATTATTTATTGTGACTGACATTTAAGCGCCTTGAGACGGTTTTCTGTGGAATGCGTTATATAAATATATGACCATTGACCATTAACCATTTAGAAATTAATATAAATAATATTCAGTTCATTTATAGTGATACTTCATCCAGACCACATTCTTATTTCTCTTTGGATACATGTAATGTCATGCTCAATGTACTGTACAACTCTTCCTCTCTTAGGAGGACTCTAGTCATGTTTGTAATTCAGCACATACCAATCATATTTTAGATAAGTCCCATCCTATTAGACAGCTATTTATTGTATTGTCACTTGAGTGGAGCAAGCAAGTGCAAATAAAGTGTCTTGTAAAGGATGTAAACAATGGCACACGTCATTATCTTAAACCCAACACCATTTCGGCCCAAAGATCTATTGCTGCACCATATGCTTTCTCATATATTAATGTCTTTATACCTTTTACATGGAATGTCTAAAAAACTTGACAATGGGAAATAGTAGAGCATCAAGTTTAGCTTATTTCTGGAAAAGCCAAGACGAAATTTTCAGGTTTATTGCGACCAATACAAAATGTTATAATTGAATTTTAATCTCAAACGTACATTGAATTCATCGGTTGTTCCTGCTTGGAATTTTGTAGGATTATCTTGGCCAAGCTCCTCTGGATCTGAGCACGAACTGGTACCAATGACAGTCAACATCACCTTAGCTGATGTTCCAGCTTCCTTACCATCAACATTCTCACCAGTTGAGACTATCAACTTCCAGTTTCCATCTAAATAAGGGAAAATATTTAGAGACACTGTTAATATGTATAGCTGTGTATAAAACTGTTTCCTCTCTTTTTACCTTTATGTTATCACCTTCAGTTTCATAGTTTCATTTTAATCAAAGAAAGTTTTCACTAAACACATATTACATTATCAAATTTCATGTTGAAAATCTGTGAGATATTTTAGTCTGGATGAGCACCTCCCCAGCCTCCCTTGCCATGATCGGTACACATCTCAATTTCAAGTAGAATGATTACGTAAGGCGTACATAAGCTCTGCAGGGACGGACGATTCAATTTGGAAACCTTCCATATATTGGTTCATCCAAGTAAGTATTCTCAAAATAAGACTTGAAAAGCTCTCACCTGTTTTTGGTTTTGCTTCTGTTATGTCTGGATCCACAAACACACTGGGCTGAACTTGATAAGTCTGCAGTTGAAGAGATGCATCTTCTTCAGGTGATTCCGCACTACCAAGCCAGCTGTAGAGATTTATAATCATTATATAAAATCAGAGATATTGTTGCTACTAGAGCTACCAAAGTCTACCATCTGGGTACCAACATTCTCACTGCATAACAATCTCTCTAACATGTGGCATAGATGTAATGCTTTTGGCTTTAAATCTCTTTAATGTCTTTAATTATATACAAGGTTGAGAATACTGGCATGTGTATGTTGACTCTGTTGTAAAAAAGTTTGTAGCCTGAATGTGATAATAGTAATAAATAGTATTAAATTAGCAGTAACTGGCCCTCTTGGATTTCTCTGATCTTAGGTAGACAGTAAACATAAAGGACTCCAAGGGTGAACTTGATTAGAGAGGCAGGAGGGGGTGGGGGGAATAACGGAATGATACCTTGGAAGCACTATTGATCCTTTAACACAGAGGTGGGCAGTAAAATTGTTCGGGGGGCCAAAGTAAATTTTTGATTCAACCCCAAGGGCTGCACTCAAACTTCAATGTTTCAGTGCACTTCTAAAAACCTTCTTAAAATGTTTTATGGCCACTTTATGCTCAGTTTTATTATTATCTTTTACAGATGATCGGTGCCGAGCCGCAAAAAACAAGCTGTTTTCCAGCCAAAGATGGCATGGCGGGCCGCACAAATAGGGTTTGTACTTCATTTCCGCAGGCCGCAAAAAAAATCACTGGCGGGCCGCACTTTGCCCACCTGTGCTTTAATAGAACCTTGGCCTATAAGTTTATCAATGTACATTATTCAAGAAATTCAATGACATGTAGCACTATTTATATCATAGCTGGTCGAAATGTACTCATTTAAATACATTAACATTATAAAGAGTATTAGATTGAAAAAAGAATGAATTCTTACTTGTTGTAATTAAAAACCATTTCCTGATTTGTATATTGACCTTCTTTGACAACAACCTTTTCTAATTGCCATGGTTTTCCCGAAGCCTTTTGAATTAAGATATATTTTATTTGACCGACCGATACAGCTTCAAATAAAAACGAATCAACCTGAAAAGAATAATTTGAGAATCATAAGAGAAAAAGTATGATATGGAGTAAAAGAATCACCCAGATCTTGAAAGTAGAAACTATATTCTAAGGACACAGTTTATACAATAAGGGTTGCAAATAGGTCAACTAGAATATACAGAATATATAAATTATCAGGGGCTGATCCAGAGATGTAAGAAAGTGGGGCTGAAATTGGGGGCCAAAAGTGGGTCCGGGGGCGTGCCCCCATGAAATTATTTTGTTTGGGGCGTTTTGGGCGATCAGTTATTACTTTTTTCTTTTTTTTTGACTTCCCAAAATCCACCCCTGATTATATACAATTTATTGTCATAATATTTTAACTTGTGACCTGCTTTGTACCTTTTCTGGTTTGTCAAACTTTTCTCCTCCATTTATAGTCTTGTGAAGTTTCCTGGAGCCTGTGTCTGTTGAACCAAATATCGTAACGCAAACATCAGAATCAGTAGCGGCTTCCTCATCAGATCCTGTGTGGAAATCCAGTTTGTAGTTGACCAATTGTAAGGGGTCACGTCCCTTTATCAAGGTAGGTAACTCATTGATGACATCACTGTCCTCTTTCTCATTTGAGAACCATTTATTAAACTCAAATTTATGTTTTGTTTCAGAGGCTTCATCTACAATTTCAATCTATGATCATAAATAAACAACATTGTCACAATGAGAAGAGAAATTAAAAATACTAGGCAGAACAGAACATATGAAGAGGTGTATGAGACCCTCAGACACCCCCTACCTTGCAGCATCTAAAATCAATTAGTATTACAGTATTTGTAGGCCTTGAAATATTTGCACCTAAGGCCGAACGTAGTGTGAAACACTTTACAGCCCATCAACAGTGGAAGGTGGGTATCTAAGCCTGGCTAATCAAGAATGGTTAGCATGTGGTTCAAACTTCCAACAATGAGGTTAAGGAATATGGGAACTGCTGCACCCTAAAGCCTTTGGTATGTGGTCGAATATAAAGGTAAACATCAATGAATGAGCGGTTAGGTACACCTACCCTTGAATCTCTGGCTCTGATATAATATGCCCGAGAGTAGCAATATGTTCTTGGTCAATGTACAATTATCAACACTATATATCTCTTCACCAGCTGTATACTGGGGACCTAACAGTTTTGGGTGGCAATTCCCTAATTAACAGCTACAACCTCATATGCCATACTTCACCCGAAGGAAAGTACATGTTTGATCCAATGATCAGAGTGATAAGAAATGAATATAGGCCTTGGCATTATGCAAGGTTGATGTATAGGTATTATAAATAATAATGGGACATTGGATCAAGCAAAATTTACCTCTTTCAGATGCCAGGATATCTTGCTGGTATCATTTTGGTTGTTATTTTCCTCAGATTCATCAAACAACTCTACACGCAGCTTGAGTAAGTCACCAAACCAATTTCCAGGATTTACCTGTAAAAAAAAAAATAAAAAATCATATTTTAATAGTAAATCAAAACATTAGTTGTATAGAATAATCTTTACCTAACCTATGGAAAGAAAAACCTTCTAAAATTAAGGACACTTAACTACAAAAAAATGTTAATATTCAAATAAATAGTATTCCTTGTAATTTCTATGCACAAAACATTTAAAAAAACTAACCTTAAATTCTGCTCGCTTTCCTGGTTCATAGTTGTCGTCCTTGCCATTATCAAGGACCATGACACTGGACTTGCCTTTGTCACCATATGCTACCAACGAAAGTTTCTTATCCATCCCACAATCAGGCAGATCACTTGTGGTAACAAAGCATGTCCAATTTTCTGGAAGGAAAGATGTAAATTGTTTGAAACATTAGAAGATGTTTATTTTGGGAATACTTAGCTGGATAAACTGACATTAAATGGAACACCCCTTCAAATAAAAGGAAGGGATATTCATCCAGGAACCTTACTCATAGACCACCAACATCACTTCTAATTTGTGTAAATTTTTTCTTCATGTCATCCTTAATAATATACAAATATCATAATAAGCCTACTATGGAAATAGTATAATGATGATTGTTGATTTTAAATTCATTTCCTGGTTTCTTAGCTTTGAAACAGTTTACCATTTAGATTTGAGATGTACCTTCTCAAAAACAATAAAATTCAGCTAAAAATGCATTATTGAAAAGATGTTATTCAATTTGGTGAGTGAAAAAATGGAGGTCCAGCGTACACATCTGGCTTGTGTGCACTTAGAAGAACCCATTACATCTTTCGGAAGAGTAGGGGTCTACCCCGATGCTATGGTTCATTTCGGCCCGTCCTTGTGGAATGATGTGAGCATGAAGCTACTATAAGCGCCTCTTTATGGTGGCTGGGTAGTCATGGATCACCCCATACGCAAATTCTGTGCAAGGATGCTGCGAGTTATGAGTGTTAATCTATACCTTTACTAATGCTAGGTTTAGTAACTGTACATCATAAAAATCTTTGTAATACTCTGGAGCAAGGAAAATATAAACTATTTTATGAGATTGAACCAGTGATATTTGAAATACCGTTGCAATATTGCCACCTGCAGTAAACTCCCCTAGTTGACAATGTTCACAGTGCAATACATTCTTTGCTTAATTTTCATGCATTTCTTTGTAATCCGTTTTTTTCTTGCATGAATTATCCTTTAGCTTGCAATTGTATGTGAATTTAAATGTTAAAAAAACAGAAGTCAGATCTTGCACCAGGTATACTTTATCTTATCTATGGTATGTTATGTTTGAGTTGAATATTATCATTATTAGCAGGAAAACAAAAGCATAATAAAAGAAATTGAATGCCAATTAGGATATAGTAATGATCGAAAAATTGAAAACTGGGAAATGAATACCTTCCACAAAAAAAGATTTAATAGGCTGAAGATTTCGATCTTCATCATCATCATCGTCTTTTTCATCATTTTCTTTTTCTCCTTCAGTTCCTATCCAGCTTAAACAATCAAATTTCAACTTATTCTTCTCTTGGTTTGTTTTATCATCACTCTTGCCATCCTGTGTGACCAGTACTTGCTTTAGAAACCAGCAATCATTTGATTGGTTCTCTACTTGGATCGTATGGATTTTACCAAGTGGTACAGCTTCAATTTCAAAAATATCAACCTGCCAAAATATGGAATAAAAACAATTTTATAGACTCATAAAATAAGACATTACGGTCTTCCATAGCATTTCAAAATAGTAACTAAATGAAGTTCAGAGACTGTAGGCATTGTGTATGCAGAGGTGGATTGAGAGGGGATAAACAGATTTTAGCCCCTAAAACTTTACCAACATGCATGTTTTTGACAACTGTGAAATAATAGCCTCCTAAGTTGGCCGAAATTAAAACTTTTACCTAGGACCTCTAAAAATATGAGTTTATCAACCATACCCACACGGAACCATACTTCAATGATGGGGCCAAGGTAGGTGTTGATTCACACCATCTGAAAGTTTCAGTAGCTCACCCCTAACAAAAAAGCTTGGACCTGCTCTTGGTATATATTTAGCCATGGAGATCTTTATGTCCTCTGTTACATGTTACAGCACAAATCTTTTGAAAAAGATGCTTAATGCCGGAAACCAAAAAATGTTTAATATATTATAAAAATAAATAGAAAGACAATATGAGATGTTTGTAGAAGTAATTAGGAAGAGCTAATAAGATACAAATAAAAAAAAAAAAAAAAAAAAAAAAACTGGGGCCTTTAATACCCCTTTTTTCATCAGTTTTTTAAATTTCCAAAATCTGTATCTTATTTCGTCATTGCAAAATATCTCTTCAAAAACCCCTTTAGTGTCTTGGAATATTCATTTGTACAACATATCAAAACATTTACATTCCTCTGTTGCACCAGTAAACGAATGCAGTACATCTTTGCAAAAAGAACCAGGAACTGCCTCCTGGTGCACCACTGAGGTTGATGCTACGATGCTACACTGTGGTTGTCAGTGAGACCCCAGACCAAAGCCTTTAGTTACTCAACTCTGACTGATTTATCTCCCTTTATTTTAATTAACACAAAATTTGACACCAAAATTAACATAAATAATCCAATGAAAAATAAATTTGCATTCTAACCTGGTCTTTCTTGAACTTATCAAAATTGTTGGACTGAGATAGTAGTCGTCGACCAGTATCTCCTTTACTACCAAATATGGTCATATATATTTCATTGGTCTCAGTTCCTGAGTCGTCAGTGTTTCCAGTGTGACATTGGACTTTGTAAGTTACAACTTAAAAAAAATAGAAAATAAAAACAAATTATTTAGGGCAAAATATTCAAATACAATATAAAATCATAACAACAGTAAACATAATTAAAAGATAAAAAAAACCAACAATAAATAATAATAATATTTGACGCAATAAAGAATAAAAATAACAAAATACACAAATTGATTGTTGATTTATTCAGGTAAGTATTCACAAAATAGTCAATAAAAAAATCTTGTAATAATTATTGGATTGAAAAATATATCTAACTGTTTTCTTACCTGTTTCTGGTGTATTTCCACCTCTAATCGCTGCAGCCTCTTTGCACAATTTTATCCGCGAAGGAAATTCAAACTTCAGATTTTCATCTGTGTCCTCATCAACCATTTTGATCTACAATAGTGAACATAAATTATTATTTCTATTTTAATTTAAAACATTAAACATAGTAAATATCATAAATTTGATCAAATTAAAAAAAAAATTTTAAAAATGACAGTTTAATCCTGCTAAAAATTATCAAGGATGTAACACTCAAAACAGCTCTAATCTCTAATGCTCTGTAATGGCGAGAATTTTTTTATACCTTGTTTAGCGAACCCCCCAAATGCAAATATTGATGATTTCGAATAAAAATAAAATTTTATTTTTTGCCAATTAGCGCACCAGCCGCCATGAAAAAGTGGAATTTCAGAAAAAAAAATTAAAAGTTTTTCTTTATTTTTATTACGCCCTCCTGCCTTGAAATCTCTAAAGATAAGATATGTATATTTCTTCCTAATAAAATTTGAAGCATTTAACCATCCTATTTCACATTCACCAATAAAATGTTATTTTTTATTTTCTCCTCCATCTGGATGATTTTGGCAAAACTATTTGCTAAATAAGAAAGCAAAATTTTAATTTTATCTTTATTCCGCTCTCCTCCGACGATCTTTAAAAAAATTAGTATGCGAAACAAGGAATAAAAAAAGTCTCAACTAAACTGTTGTATGCCCATATTCATGATGTGCCTATATATGTTCATGATGTGATGTCATCATAGCCATATTTAGTCAAAATTTTATAGTCTGGACAGTATTTTAGTCTCTAAGATTAACTCTTTTCACATTAAATTAACTTTTTTAAGACTAAGGGTATCCTTAGCTTGGTGAAATCATGCTGCAGTTTGCACTTAGATTTTAAGTATGACGTAGGTTTTATCAAGCTGGTGGCTAAACAAGACTTAGTAAGATTTTTGCGCATATACATAGATACATTCTCAAAGTATGAACATTGATAAGATTCGCAAAGGTAAAATTAACCCCTTCTTTTGCTCAAAAACCGTAGTCTAATACTTAGTTAAAGAGCATTGAAGGTTTTAAATTATTATCTTCACTAGATCAGTCATAGTTGTAAAGGTTGCACAGGGCAGGGCACAATACCCATTCTACATCTACTAAAGTGATTAACTCTTGAACTACTGATAATAGTCAGTATGCACATACCCATTCAACATACAGTTTTGGATCATCTTCAGACTGGTCAACTTCAATTCTCACTTTACTTATAGCTCCAATGTTTCCGACATTTATCTAAGAAAGTTTTGATAATTTTTATGATAAAATAACAACAATGAAAATCTGTATTACTATTATTAATAAAAATAATGACAATAATATATTACTACTGTATTTATTATAGCGTAAAATAGTATAGTATTTTCAGTTGAATAATATTTGCTTACATAATGTACTTAACGTTTTTAAATAAAGTTGCCCTGATTTAAAATGAATAAATAAATTGGTATTTAAATGCTTAATAATGTGTTGATAATGTTTGTTGCAGCCAATCAAATTTGAATTCCCAATGAAGGTTAAGAGTTTTCCACATAAGCAGAGTTGCATCCCGGTCGCTGATATATTGTGTTCCTCTTTGTTAATGATTAAAATTTGTATTTGTTATGGCACTACTGCAAGACCATATTATTCAATACTTTATTGAGACTTACCTTGAAGTTATCCTGAGTCCCTGGATCAAACAGCTTCTTGTCTTCCACCTCACCCTTCAGTAAAGGATGACGCAAAAACTGACCTCTATCATCATACACAATCAGAGCCACCTTCGAGTCCATATCATCTGAAGATTTCATGTTGGTTCTCACAGACACTTTCCAGTTTCCTTTGGTTGTTGATTTCTCAGTGCACTCAACTTCACCTAGCAGCTTTATCTCACGTTCTAGTTTTCCATCTTCAACTCCATCATCAAACCACCTAAGTCAAGAAAAGCATGTTGTTTCAAAAGTGGTATTATAAAGCAAAATATAACTATATGTTAAAGCAGTCAATAAATATCTTCATATGTTGTCAATTTATAACTAAAATTGCCCTATATAAAGTAGATCCTTGTTATTAGTATTATCGACATTTGACATTAAAATGTTGTACTTCATCTATAAAAATCATTTCTATATTCTCTCACCTTTGACATGGAAAGACAAACTGAGTTGGTGAGTCTGTACTCTCCTTGATGACAACCTTCTCCACAAACCAACCTGCACCATATCCTCTCTCATTATGACCAAGAATCAATTTATTAGGTCTTATTAAGTCTACAGCTTCTATCAAGAATGTGTTCACCTACAAAAAAAAAAGTGATCATCAAATACAATATTGTGAACAAATAAGTATTATACACATGATTAGTTCTAGACTGGGTTCCAGTCCCTAATCTTTGTCTTAATCAGTTGAAATGCTTAAGAATAAATCGATTTTGGCACAAATGGCGTTCCATATTACTTATTTGCATGGCGTTCCATAGTATACTTTTTCTGGGATTAAAGTTTCTCAACATAAACTGACGCTGGTGGCGCTTTCTGAAATGCGCTAATACTATGAAAAATCCATAAATTAGAGACTTGTGGCAAGTCTAGATTAGTTCATATTCCAACCCTTTGTTAGCCCCTACTCCCTGAAGGGTCAGGTGGCTTTTTTTTTGTTTGTTCAGTTGCAGAGACCATGTCGGGTGACCCTGCTGTGTCTGCTCTATGTGTTGTTAGGACACAAGCTGCTCCACTGGCAAAAAGGTGTCAACAACATAGCAGTATTATATACTATTATATAAAATTAAATATAAAATTGAAATATAAAATAAACATGCTGTATTCAGTGGCGTATCTACGAGTCTTGAAATGGGGGAGGGGTGATGGGGACGCAAAGGTAAGGTGGGGGCTCGATGATAGATGAAAGAGGACTAGCTCAGAAAATAAGGCAATTTAAGGTAATTTTGAACTACTTAAGTGCGATTTTGGTGGTGACTGGGAGGTGTAAGTATTCTTTTGTGGGGAGTTAGCACTGTGTACCACCTAGATACGCCACAGGTTGTATTCCGGTCCTTTACTTCTTGATTTTTATACAGATTACATAAAAAATGCACAATCATGTATGAATACCTCATTTCTACCAAATTTGTGTTTCTTATCCAATTTTGACATGTCTAAACGCTTCAGTTGCCGTTGACCAGTATCGCATTTCTCTCCACAGACAACAATGTAAGGCTGTGTGTCAGTCCAGGATGCTCCACGGTTACCCGTGTGAACAGCAACCTCATATTTGTGAACTATATTAAAAATATAAATAAATTTTTAAGGCTTAAATGTCAAGGTGAAATTTTAAAAAAATAATAATTATTATCAAATATTCAAATATAGTTAATGCACTTATCCAATGCCAATAAAAAATGCAAAGTATCCCTAGAAGTTTTTCCCTCTAAAAATAAGGATTTAATAATTAATAATAACATTACACTTGTATAGTAGATAAGGCACAAAAAAGCCTTTATGCGCTTTACATCAGAAAATAAATAAATAAAAATAAATATGTAAATTAAATAAATAAATAAATAACAACAAAACAAAAATTAAAATAAATAAAATTAAGAAACGGGAAATATGCAAAATCTCTGTGGGTCGCCATCCATCACCACCCTTGTAAACACGTAAACGTGTGCTTGGGGATGGTGGCCAAGACAGGACCCCAAGAGAAAATGCATGCAAAATTACGTATGTGTGTATGTTATGTATACAATAAATATATTTTAAACGAATCTAATATAGGGTAATCACAACTTTAACAGCGGATGTTCAATCTATAGAGAGGAATCAGAGAAACATTAACCAGAAATGCAAGAAGCAATGATTTATTTGCAGAGCATGTACTACAAGATGGAAAAAAAATTTACAAGCTCACTAACCCAATGGAACTGGTGCATCTGGACGGATGGCTGCCAACTCTAGACAAATATCATCAATCAAATCTTCCTCTTCTTCTTCTTCTTCTTTCTTATTTTCCTCTTCATTATTTTTACCTTCATCTTCTTTGGCTTGATCCTTGTCTTCTATTTCTTTCTTTGCTTCATCTATTTTCCCCTTCTCATCCTCATCAACAGCATTGATATCAACAGGCTCTCTTAACCAACGATTTGCAAAGAAGTGGAATTCTTGGTGTGTATCCTTATCTTTCATTTTTATCTGAAAAATGTAACAAGATAGTACTTTAATATATATAATATATATACTAATAACACCTGTTTAGCTGAGTATCAGCTGCAAAGGGATTATCAAGACTAAAGACTAACACTAATAATATTAATAATTTAATTGATTTAGTTGATTTATGCAACATTGTCTCAAAATTTCAAGTTTTGCATTGTTTCTGGTACTTTAATTTTAACCAACCTTTTCAATAAACCAATCAGGGTTCTTGTTACTGTTATCATGAGCAATTCGAATCTTGTAGAGCGAACCAATTTCACCGACATCAATCTGAAATTTATAGGATAGATTTGGTTTGGGTCAACCACATAAGTATTAGAGATTTTTTTTATTGCATGCCATAAAACAAGTACGAAAAATAATAGCCTACACAAATTATATAAGCCAGAAATTACCTCAAATTGTTCAACAGACCCAGGTGGAAACTTAGTTGCTTTCTCAACACCATTCTCATTTTCTTGCTCATCTTCTTTATTGTCATCCTTCTTATTATCATCGTCCTTCTTGTTATCATTGTCCGGATTGTCATCATCATCCTTCTTTAGTGGTAGCACCTTACTTGAGCCCTTGTTACCATAAACTTGAATAGTGACATTGGCATCAGTACCCATTTCATCGTCTCTACCCGTTGTCACCCAGACCAACCATTTGCCACTTGAATAGGACTCTCCATCATCCAGTGGTTCTCCATCATCCTCTATGATGGTCTCTACTGGTCTTTCATCTAACAAAGGCATATGTTAATATTACATCTTTAATCTTATAATTACATATATTGTGCTCTTTAATATAAAAAAAAAAGGAGTGCAAACCAGCTTAATTAATGCCAGTTAAAACAAAGAAAACAGGTGAAATCAGAACATAAAGGCAGAAACTGTTGGTTGCACTCCAAAAAAACATATGAGTAGCCAAGTTATTGGTACATCAACAGCATGCAATGGCTAAAGACACACACTGCAGCAACAGTCATTGACCAACGTGATTCAAACGTAACTTGCCGATCTGCTATGACTGCCATCGACAATCGGCAAACGCCATTCGGCCATCCAGCACTCGGAAAGATTTAACAACACAATGCAAGTTCATCAAATCCTAGTGATGAAATTGTATGAAAGTGGGGCCAATGTCCACCAACCAGTGACTGCCTTACACACGCTAAAGACAGGGGTCCCAAGCCTCCTGAAAGTCGTGGGAGTCTCCCGGAAATCGGGATGGCCTCCCGCACTCTCGCAAGCAAAACAAAAATCTCCCGAAAAATAACCCATCTCTTGCAAAAATTCATAATATTTGCATGTTTTTACTACTTTATTATTAATTGTCTTATGGAAGTCACTGTTGATGGATATCACCATATGCAGCAAAATACTATTAAATCAAAGCCTATTTAACCAGATCTCCCAGAAGGAATTTATTCAACTTGTTAACATTTATTCAATAGAGAGTTGCTGAAATAATCATTGTGTTAACATCTTTTAGATATTTAAAGAAATTATTGTATGCACTCTGAAGTCGGTTTTCAAACACAGAGCGCTTTATGGTGTCACTTGTTATATTGTTTTATTACTTCATTATTATCATTAATACATCATTATTATTTTCATTGTTATTACTATATAAAAAAAGTGAATAATGATTAATAAATACAAATGTTAACTGACCTCCAGCCTTGAGTTCCTTCTCAAAGAGCGCCTGACCCGTAGTTGGGTTCAGGCCCAGCCAATCATAACAAGGGAACACTGTCTCTACCATGGAAAACCTATCAACGCTAACTGTTGCATAATCTAGTAACCACGCTTCTTGATCAACGTCTGTTTGGAAATGGAAGACAACTTTCTCGAGTTTTCCTATTGAAACTGAATTGATCAGGAACTTATCCACCTATTCATAAAATAATAAAAAAAATGTGTTAGTGTCAAAAGTACAGTAGCACAGACGGTTTGTGTCCATGACAACAAAAAGAAAAATTTAAAGAGCATATGTAGTGGACTTTTTGCATCGAAAGTAGATCACATGACCAAACTATATTTTAACTATGTACCTATACACCCCTAGTATTGGAAATGGGATACATAAAAGCACACACACAACTTTACTCAGCACCTACAGTAATAACTTAAACTTAAATAGAAATAAATTAACAAATCAATATAACTCAATATTAACTCAAAAAAAAAAAAAATTATGGGTTGGATTTTTGAAGTCTTTTTCCTGCTATCAATAAACAATCAAATGACTTCTTAACTTGTCAAAGGGAATGTGGATAAAAAAATTGTTGAGTAAGGATGATATTTGAACCAAGTGGAACAATTTTTTCAAAATTAACAAATGGGAAAACTTTTGAAATTCTTTAACATAAATTAAATTGAAGAATCAAATTATCTTACCTGTCCGTATAAAAAGGGTGTTTCTTTGTTTGACTTAACCAGCGTCCTCTTGCCGGTGTTGCCATCATCACCATATATGGTAACACTAACTTTTCCATCAGTGTCAGCGTCTTCTTCTTTGTTGGTTAAAGTGCAAAGTTGATACATAAAAACTGTAATAAAAAAATTAAAAAAACAATTGTTCAACAAAGAAAAAGTAATGAACATCTACAAAAAACCAAATATAGCTTGCACATCATTAAGTGTTCAGACCATAAATCTATAGGCCACTTTATAGCAATTTGACCCTTGACTAAAGATGACCCAAAGCGATCCTACTCACTTTTATGAATCTTACAGTATATTTGTTAAATTTGTAGTGATGATTTGTAAAAGTAATGTCAAAAGTGCAAGGAACTCAACTTCTCTGATAATAATACAAGGTGGTGGGGTCCATGGCAGTGGTGTCAGCAGTGCAAGTTGGTGGTGTCAGTAACGGATGGTTTAACTTACCTTGTGGTGGTTCCACATCTGGCACAATAACTGGCATTTCAAGAACGTCATAACCTCGTTGATCATGTGATAACCAGGAATCAAAGCGGAATGTATAAAGTTCTTTAGTTACTTCATCTTCAATTTTAATCTGTATTAAATATAAAAAATTCTCACAATTTAGATTTTGAATTGTTTATCAAAGTTGAAAAGTAATGATAGCAAGTAATTCTTCTGAGTATTTAGAAGTCTCAAGACCTTTTGAGCCAATATGTCAATAAAATAAAGCAATTTAATTTGATATTTTGAAATAAAAGGAATTGATTGATTGACTGATTTTGTAACAATGCGATATTCCTGAAAGCACTCGCAAAAAATGTAACAATTGTAGACACATTTGGATTTGTATTAGTTTAAGTGGTTTAATTACAGCCAAAACAATTGTTTATAGGTTTAATTAAATTTACTTCAATTAAGCTTGGTTTCTATACAATCGTTACCCGCTACTGCTGACAGCTTTCGGTGATGTTGATTGGATGGTCAAACCGCAAAGCCTTCTCAAAAACATCGGGAACGTAGTAGTATAGCGACAGTGTAGCGATTTTAAGGTAACCAGTCTTTAGGTGAACTATCTGTATACACTTACCATAGTTACCAATTACCATAAGTTATTAATTTTTAACTATTACGATAATTACAGTCTTTATGTTTTTCTGTGACTAAATAAATTAACCATGATAAAAACTATTAAATAATATATTTAATTACATGTGTAAACAATAATGGTTCATTAGCCATTTACCTCATTGACATGCCAATTGGGGTTTTCTCCTGAATTGTCATGAGTCAGTCGAGCTTTTTTGACTTCACCAACATCACCAAAATCAACCTAGCAAAAAAATTTACGTAATGTAATGAATATTTATAGTTAGCAATCATAAAGAGGAAGAGACAATAAAACCTATGAATAGTTGCCATCCACTCCGGCCAACCCATGCACATGTGAAATCAGAGGCAATAAACAGATATGATGATGAAATGATCACTCTACTCTGGTAAGGCAAGACTTTTTTATATTTTGTTTCGCGAACCTGCTGCTCGCCAATATTGATGATTTTGAATAAAAATAAAATTTTATTTTTGGTCAATCAGTGCACCTGCCGCCACAAGAAAAATGGAAATTTCAAGAAAAAAATAATTTTTTCTTTATTTTTATTATGCCTGCTGCTGCGTTGAAATATCCAAAAATACGATATGTATATTTCTTCCTAATTATATAAATTTAAAGCTTTTTAATCATCTCATTACTACACTGTTAACATTCAACAATACAATTTTATTTTTATTTTGTCCTCCGTCTGGATATTTTTGGCAAAAACCATTTGCTAAGTAAGAAAACAAAATTTAATTTTTATTTTTATTCTGCCCTCCTCTGACGATCTTTAAAGAAATAAATTTTGCAAAACAAGGTATAAAAAAGTCTTGCCTAAAGTATAGTAAAACTTTAGATATTTATAATTTTATGGTTTTATTTACATGTAGTGAATGACTTACAATGATAGTGCCTTCTCCGTTGGGCACAAATTCATCCAGATCTAAATGACGCGGCTCAGAATCACCTTTTACTCCACAGAGAGTCAAATAAACTTTGGCCTTTGTTCCGGCATCAGGAAGATCACTGGTCTTAACAGTGACTTTCCATGTTCCTTCTGCAAAAAACAAAATATAAGTTATTATAATTTTTTTTTCAAAGTACCAAATGACTGTTTCTGAGTAACTTTCTCTTTGTTTAACTTTATTCACATATTCAAGAATGTCTTTTACATTCAACAAATCTGATTTTTGATAAAAGATATTCAAACATTTGTAAGAATATGCAGAAAATGTGTTGACACTCAAAGTGGGATTGTTGATAGTGTTCAGAGAATTTTATTTGATGACACATTTTTATCAAATTATAGTCTTAACCTTATTAAGAAACTTTTATCACCTTTTTAACTTTTTTTTTAAACAATTCGCTAGTAATTTAGGCCTAATTTTGTTTGTCAAGGCAAGCTTTTTTCTCAATTGTCTTGTTGTTGATTGGTTTAATTTTTATTAAGTACCGTCATGATTTGGATTTTTTTTTATGTTTTGTAAAATTATTTTTCTGTGATCTCTTTTGGAAATTTTTAGGAAGGAATGGAGGAAATATTGAAATCCTTCCTTAATTAGTATGTAACTTCCATAAGTGATTGATTTTATGTTACAACTTACTTGACTCAGCAGGCTCCTTTTCCTTATCATCTTCTAAATAGACAGGTCGTGCACCTGTAAAAGTTCAAAATTAATCAAATAATGATCAAGAAATGAAAGATACAATAATTAAACTGTGTTCATAATGAACACATATAAAAAATGGGGTATTGGCCACCCACCAGAACTTCTCCATCTGGCCTTGCAAAAAAAAAAGGTAAGATACCAATTAATACAATCAACTTATAAATAGTCCAAAAAAGAATCAGTTTATTATTAACTTAAATCTACATATAAAAGAAATTAAATATGATGATAATGCTGATTATTTTTAGTTCAGAAAGTTTCATTTGTGATAAGATGACCTAACAGCTTAATACTTAAGGGTTTAAATGACTTCTTAGATTATGGTCTTAGCTTAACACTTACCAAAAAGTTTAAATGACATTTCCGTCTTCCTTTCTGCTACATGGTCATCAAGCCACTTGTTACACTGGAAATACAATTCTTCTTTAGCATCAGCACTCTCTTTTATCACAAAGTGTTCAACAAACATTCCAGCACCTAGAAATATAGAAAACCAAAATACTTCAACTTCAGTATGATGTCCAAAAACCGAAAGGTCCACGGATTAATCTCAGATAAGATAGTATAATACATACTCCAAGTATCGAAAAGCATGCCATCATGTTGGGATTCAATATTTCAACATTAATTATGTCATCATCAGGAATGTCATCATCATTCCTGATGATGACATAATTAATGTCAAAATATTGAATTCCCGACACGATGGCGTGCACTTCGATACTAGGAGTATGTATTATACTATCTTATCAGTATGTTGAGTATGAGAGCTACAGTACAGTATTCTCATAAAAGTATAAGTGTGAGAAATAAAATATGGTAAAAAGGACCTGGGCAGTTTAAGCACTCACAGACTAGATAATTCTGTGTATGGGGCATAAGTACTCAAAAATACAATGAGGTTGAGAATGAGATATTAATTTATTTACAAACAATGATTTTATCATTTTCATCATGAGCAATCATACACACACAAATAGATATAAGGGGTGGATTTAAGGGGGGGGGGGGGGCCTGGTACCCCCTTTTGGTACCTCCTTTTCAAAAGTACAAAAAAGGAAAACAAGAAAGAAAAACAAATTATAAAGCCCCCAAAATGCCTCAGAGGTTATTTCCAGACTTCTAGCAAACAAAACCAAACCCCGTATTGGTAGAGTAGTTTCTCAATCGCCCACCCACCCCTTTCAGACATCTGGAAACGCCCCTGGATATTACTTACAAATAGATATTACAGTACCTATAAGTACTCACCTACAGACGTGAGAAATGGAATACTCAAGACTTGAGCATTTTGAATATAAGGAATAATACACACAAGGAGATTTCCATACAAAAGTCAAAAATTATTCATCACACTGATAGTTTTGGAAATAATGTATGTAATATAGATTGATATAACAAATTAATGGAATGTTCAACATTATAAGCTCACCATAGCCTACACCGTTGTGTGATACTTCAACCCTCTTGATCTCTCCCAAAGCAACTGCTTCTACTTTGAATGTATCCTTCTGACTCTTCATAAACTTCCATCGTGGTTCCTCAAGTGCATGGTACAGGAGTCGCTTGCCTGAGTCACCTCGTTCACCGTGCAACACAATCCAAACGTTAGCATCAGTGTAGCATGCTAAATGATCACCAACATCTAATGTTACATGGTAAACATTCACAGGCAGCACGTCTTGATTCTCACGTACAGCAGGCAATTCGCGGACAATATCAAAATCGTCTTCAGTCCGAGACATCCAACGGTCAAATGCAAATGTTAATTTTTCTTCGGTGTGTTTGTCTATCATACAGAGTTCATTAAGGTGCCAGCCTTCCCAAGAATGTTCATCTTCCATGCCGACACGTATCTTGTAAATTTCACCAATTTTACCAACATTGATCTAAGCAACACAACATAAACGAATTTACATTCATCATCTAAGGTGCTCATAATGTAATTTTAAATCGTAAATGATAAATATTAATATCATGTGTAGTTTCATGTATATGAAATTTTACAGGTCTACACTCTAAACAGTTTCTTAGAGAAAATATTTCTCATTGTGTGTACACTAATTTGTGAAAAGGTGTGAACATTGAAAATATAAATTTGACTAAAGTTTTTAAATAATGAACAATCTTCTACTGTATAATGCAGACCTAGTTTACAAGATACAGTACTCTGAAGAATTTTTTTTAAAATAAAATTTCACTTCAGAGGAGTTTAAAATATTATTCAAAAATAACTTAACATTAGGTTAAGGGGCTGAAAATGTTGAGGTCAAAAATGAGTTTCATATAGTTCAGAGTTTGTTTTACAAACAATATAACAGTTGATACATCTATAATGCAAGCACTCTATACAACTTTGTTGATTACCTCAAATTCATCATTAGTTCCAGCTTCAAAAAATTTATGCTCTTCCTCTTCAGTGAGTAGAAGTTTCTCGGATTTTCCATCTTTTCCATAAGCAACAAGATGAACTAATCCATTGTTAACTGGTTTTGAGTCCTCACAGGTTTTGATAATTACAGTCCATTCACCCTCTGTAAAAAGGCATTTTCAAAATATGACTTTACCAAAAGAGATATCAATCTGTAGTGTGAAAGATTGTAATTTATATATTATTATTTTATCATCTTTCTAAAAACTTTTGTATACCCATATATAGTCATGATGTGCCTATATACAGTATGGTCATGGTGGCATCACATCATGAATTGTTTTTCAGTCAGTTAGATGCGGGCGGAGGAGGACAAAAAAAATAATTTTTTTTTTGGCCTCATCATCATCTAACCATTGTCATTGCTGCCATCATTGTCATCGTGTAATTGTTACTAATCATTTTCATTTCTAATATTTGAAAATACTAGTAATGAGGAGTCTGAAAAATCATTCATTTCATATTCATCCATTCATTCATTCATGTGAACATATATTTCTTTCTTTTATATGTCATGTCTTTTATATCACGGTTTATGAATTTAACTTTAAATAACCTTCTTATAAAATGTAGATTTCAATCCAAATGTATATTAAACTATATTAATGCAATTTGAGTACTGTAATTATAATTTTCCTATATTATACTGATACTGTGTTCAATTCTCACTTACGTGTTTCTGGTTTGTCAGATTCTAAGAGAAAAAAAAAAGAACATTATCATCTTGATAATATTATGATTTAAAATATTGAGTAATAACAGCATTATTATTATTTAATTGACCATAGAATGTTCAATGAAGCTACTGAATTAAACTTGTTCCAAGATAGTTGCAAGAACATTTAAATACACAATTCAGTTACGTATGACTTTGTTGAGGTACGTTTCTAATAGGATTATGAGTATTAAAGTTTCTTCCAGAGAAGTGTTCACAAAATATACCACATAATCTTACTTGTTTTTGCCTTCAATTGTACAGGCTCACTAGGTAACTCCTTATCTAATGACCAAATTTGGATATCGTATTCTTTTCCAGGTTCAAGGTCTATGAATTCTGCCTTAAATGTGTTTGCTGCTACCATTCTCTCCACTGGTTTAGCCTCTTTACTGTCAGCCATGACACATTCAACTTTGAACTCTGTGAAATTTCCCTCTGGCTTTTTCCATGTTACAGTGATGGAATTCACAGTACTTTCTGTTTTTCCTTCTACTACTGGCATAGGCTCTGTGAAAAGAATTGCCATTTATTATAATCAACAGGGTGATACAAGAATACCAAAAATATGAGGACACAATCACAACAGCCATCTACTGTATTTTACTGTTTTGTCATGTTTATTTCTTTATATTTCATCAGTAGCCGGGCACTCACTGCGCCGTGCGATGTATGTGTGACCGCCAGTCACCGAATCCAATTCCACTCCCTGTGAGCGCTAGTTTATGCGACGCTGTCAGTTGATTGTCGGTGGCAGTCTGAAGGGATCGCGATTAAGAACATTTATTGTTTGCACATGTAATGCAGTGAGTGCCCGGCTTAGTTACGACATTTGGCACATACAGCCATGTAAGGCAATGAATTAGTTTTTGTTTTAAAATACACTGTAGCAAAAGGGAAATTTGTTACAGTCCATTTTGTTTTAAAATGGACTGTAATAAAATGGACAGTAACAAATTTCCCTTTTGTTACAGTTTTAAAATGGACTGTAACAAAAGGGAAATTTGACCAAGAATAAAAAAAAAAACTGAGAACCCAGAACCTTTTGTTTACATGTGGAACTCTATACTACACCAAAAGGTGTGACAAATACAAGCACATACTGTATATACTGTCTCTTATACACATCTAGATGTGTATAAGAGACAGATCATCATCTAACCATTGTCATTGCTGCCATCATTGTCATCGTGTAATTGTTACTAATCATTTTCATTTCTAATATTTGAAAATACTAGTAATGAGGAGTCTGAAAAATCATTCATTTCATATTCATCCATTCATTCATTCATGTGAACATATTAAAACAAACAAACTAAATAACATCTATTATATTATAGAACCACAACAACTAAATACATATCTGTACAGCAGTGCAAGTATCACATTTTGTATATAAGTATCTACATTCAATGGTTGAACTATTTTAACTAAAAAGGATAGAAATAATTACTAAAGAAAACAAATGAAAGAGAAAAGATGATAATGAGAAGGAACATGCTTCAAAAAGAGACAAGAAAAAAAAAAAACAGAATCAGTTAATACAATTTACCATTTATTTGCTAAATTTACATGAATGCAAAAAACATAAATGGGCAAACACAAAAGCTAACAATCTAAAAAAGAGAGATAATGATGTGAATCTAAAACAACAAAAAGATTTGAAAAATATAAGTATTTTGGTTGTACTAAAAGATGCAATCAGACATAGCTGCAGCCAGGATCAATAATAAAAGGTGCTCTCAAACCATTGACAAATCAGGTTGCACATCATAAACTCACTTCCTGTAGAATACGTTTTGTCAATTAAAGTTATTGGTTCACTCTGAACATCCCCAACTAAAGTGAAAATATTAGCGGTATATTCTCGATCAAGCTCAAGTTCTGAGAAAGTTATCTTTGTCCTATCACGATCAAGAATTCTGATTTCTACATCATCAGAACCAGAAAGACCAAAGTTCACTTGGTAATGGGTGAACTTTCCATCTGGTGATTGCCAAGTGAAGGTCATTGAATTGGTCAGTGGCTCCACTTTGGCCTCCTGGACAACCTCAGGCTCTAAATAAGCGAAGTAAATATAAGCATGTCACAAATACAACACAGATGTAAAACAACATTAACACAACAGCATGATTATAAATAGTAATGTAATATATTTAAAAAAATATCATCTGGTGAATAATACACAAACTAAGAACATTATCAAACACAGACAACATGTATTAAAATATATAGTTTTTTTCTCTTTATTATACTGCTTTCACACAGCCAAACTAATATACCAGTGTAACAAAGAGAAGCAAATCCCTTGTCCACTAACACAAAATAAATGTATTAAAGATGATCTTTTGAATATGCAGTAAATATTGAATCACAAAATGTTATTAATATTAATTACTTTTGGAATTGCAGAAGCAAAACAACATTTTATCAAATTATAGATTGAATAATAAAGCAACAATAATATTTTAAGATCACAGTTAAAAAGATTTTGGACATAGATACCAGAAAGAAAACTGCTGACAACAAATAAATTACCATGAAATGAAACATAAAAATATAACATTAAAATACACACAGTAAATGTAACCTACTGGTTCGCTGTTTGAGATTAACACTCTTGCTCTCCTGTTCACCAGCTACTGTAAAGATGTCGATTATGTATTGACAACCTCCTTCCAAGTCATTGATCTTTGTTCTGGTTGTCTTCTCATCCACATTGATTGTGATGGCTTTTCTGAAGTCAGGTTGATTCTCTCTTAAAGACACAGAGGCTACACTGCCTCGTCTACTGCTGCCCTTTACATCAATTCTACTCTTAGACCTCTCACCCGCTTTATCATCAGCTCTACTTTTTGACTTCCCATCACTTCTGCTTTTATCTCCTGTCTTGCTCTTTGGTCTCTCACCAGTTCTACTCTTGGATCTTTCACCAGTTCTACTCTTGGATCTTTCACCAGTCCTGCTTTTTGATCTCTCACCAGTTCGGCTTTTTGACCTGTCATCAGTTCTGCTCTTTGATCTTTCACTCTTTTTCTCATCTTTTGATCGTTCACCTGTTTTGCTCTTCTCTCTTTCACCTGCTCGACTTCTTGATCGACTCTTGTCTGAAGAAGACATGTCAGTTTTGCTTCGTTCATATTTTACACCTGGTGACTGTTTAACGGATGTGAGATCACTCTTGGTTCGGTTTGAAGGCTCTGGACCTGAGACAAGTGGCAAACAAACTACTTTATAGCCAGTAAGCTCACCAGAGGGACGATCCCAATGCACTGTAATTGATTTTGATGTTGCCTCTGATGCTGCATTTATCACTTCATGAGGTTCTAGGAAAAAAAATTGCATGCTAGTTAAAATTTGCTTGTAACAAAGGAAGCAAAATTCTATACAGTGCATTCTTTTAAACAAAGAGTATATTAAGTTAGAGCATACTTGTATGTTTGATCACTTCCACTGATTCACTCTCTACTTCTCCATTTGTAGTATATATGGAGAGGGTGTATTCACGTCCTGGTGATAATCCATTGAATGTTGCCTTCACCTCTTGTGGGTCTTTTATAACAACTTCATTCTGATCAGAGTCAGGTGGAGTGATCGTAACACGATATCCTTCACAATCCTGCTCCGGTTTTTTCCAACCAACAACGATTGTCTTCCGAGTGCTGTCTGTTTTTGGATCACGTACCTGATCTGACATGGACTCTGAAGTTCATTAGGAATAAAAGTCACATTCATGAATTAATATACACATTCACATAATGACCATAAAGGTATTATAAATAAAACTGGTGCAATTTTAGATATGTAAAAAAAATAATAAATCGCAGATGTATCTTTAACCCCTTTCAAACAGACGTTGCCGCAATAATGCAGTAAGCATACCACCATAATAATTGGTCTATACCCATTCACACAGTGCCTTTGTTATCGCAATATTGCAGTAATTTTTCAGACAGAGCAAATCAGTAACTGTTACCGTAATATTGCTATATTTAGTGTTTGGTTTTACGATAAATGATAAGCAAACAAAGGATAGCTTCTGCCAGAAACCATGTTACAAACAGTAGAGAGCCTTTAACAAAATATTCTGTTGACTATGGAGGCAAGCCAGGAGAACAGAATGACATTTATCTACTGGCTAAAAAGCTGTGCCCATTAAAATCATAAATATTACATAATATCAAAATAACATTGTGCAATTAAAAGTGAATTTGGAAAGCTGTTGATTAAATCAAGTATTTAAATAAAGTTCATCATACATTATAAATCATATATAATTAATGACAAAGTGAAAATTTAATCTTAATACAGTAAGAAATGGTGCCATAGATAATTATTACTGTACATCATTAGAACATACATTTGTCTATACATGTCTATAAGCAGAATAACATACAAATTAAATATTAAATTATAAAAATCAACAATAGAAACCAACTGATACAAAAATATTATCATACAATAGAATTAAAATACTAAAATATTTTATCTAATTCATTAAAATTTAACAGAGCTTTCGCGTTAGTAGTACTTGAGAAACGGTGCATCTATAAGAGAATAAAACAGAACAATTTATAGACGTAACAAAACATGTCAACTTTAAATGTATGCAGAATTGATCACAAACAGAATCTTAGAAGTTTATGCAATTCAGAATCAGTAAAATATAGAATTCCAGTAAGTTTCAGCACTGTAGTTGTCTAAAGTAAGTATATTTATAGTAAAAGAATAGACTATAGTAATGCAAGTTCGAAAACAATAAGAGTTATTTCACTGAAGTTTGTTAACGTTGTACTAAAATTGTAAATTTTTCTCCGGCCAATTAAATATTCATACTGTCTATTATAGAAAAAGACTATATTTTTCAAGAACAGACATTAAGAGGTCATCGAACATAACCTCTAAAGTGTCTGTAAGCAATTTTACAAACACAATTGCTATTTGAAATACTGCCCTCTATAAGTTCCATGCTTGCATGCTTCTAAATCCAAGTTTTTTTCTGCACAATTATAAACAAGTAGAAAAAAAAATTATGCAAATTAAGAAAAATAATGCTTGACTAGATAAGTAAATAACAAATAAAGAGTCTAATTACAAAAACAGTAGTATTCAAAATCAAGTGCTTTGAGTAGAAACAATTGGAGCCTGACCCTGGTGCTTTATGTGTACAATGCACACAAATAAAACCCAGAAGCAGCCCTGTGAAGGTGAAGCCTTAAACATCGACAACTCACTTGTAGAAAACTCTAACTGCACAACTTCACCTTCAATTTCACCACATAATGTGTTAATATTAATGACATATATTTCCCCAAAAATAAGACCAGTAAAAATTCCTTCAAGAGTATCTGGATCTTCAACAATAAGATCTTCCAGATTTGATGCAGGATCATTCTTTATATGACATGATAACTTGTAGCCAGTGTAGGAACCAGCAGCAGGCTTTTTCCAAGACACAGTTGCAGTACTACCATTTGGCTCAACTGTTGCATCCACAACAATTGGAGATTCTTCAATGAATAAACAATCGAGAGTTGGTAAATAATTGTGTCACCAAATTATGAACTTGAAAAGCTTTTACAAAATACAGACAGTTAAACTCAATATAAAATATTCTTGTTTAAATATGCAGTTTAGTAAGATCATGTAAAAATACAGAAATATTCAACAAAATTATCTTGATTGTGCAGAATGTTGGGAAAGGTGAATTTGTAACCACTACAAGACCACTCACTTGTTGAAACCTCAAGTTTTACAGCTTCACTTTCCATGGAACCAGAAAGAGTTATGATCTCAACTATGTAAATCTGACCCTTTGTGAGATCATTAAAAGTTGTTTCTAATGTTTCTGAGTCTTTAAGAACAACTTCTTTAGTGACTTCATCAGTGTCAGCATCCTGCTTACACAACACCTTGTAGCCTGTTACACTGCCCTTTTCAGGTTTCATCCATGATATCATTGCAGAATTTACATTCACAATTGAACTTGCATTTACAACAACTGGTACATCATTATCTTTGTCTACAACATACAGTAAAATTAAATTTAAGTAATGTAAAAATTTAATTTCTTACTCTATAACTAATTGCATGCAAATAATATTTGTAGACAATTTCAGTCCAGCATTTCAAGTTTATTGATCTTGTCAGTTGACATAATACTATAATAATGGTAAATAATACTGGTGTTTAAAAAAATCATTTTATGAACTCACTTTTAATGTCAAACATAACTTGAACAGCCTCATTTTCCTCTTTTCCTGATACTGTTCTAATTTCAACAATATATGTTTTTCCTGAACACAGTTTATCAAATTCTGCTTCTAAAGTTTCAGGAGCATCAAGTATAATTACTTGAGGTTCCTCACTTGGATTGTCTTTTTCTATACATGTTAATTTATATCCAGTAATGCTGCCTTGCTTTGGTTTCTTCCAGAGTATCTTAGCACAGTTATCACCTGGTTGAGCCTGGGGCTCAATTACAACTGGAGATGCTTGTTCTTCTACAAGATCAGCATTTAAGAATAGTCATATTGAACATTGTGGAGACTCAAGTTCAATTTGTGCTAAACTTCAAAAACAAACTTAGGACAAACCTACACACTTGCAGGTAGTATGTGAGGAAATTATAGTAAATAAGATCCACAAATAGATTTAAGAAACATCAAATTTTATCGAATTAATATATAAAAAAAGTATAAGATCCTGTATGTGATAGAAAAAAAGTTACTTAGGAAAGAAATTGTCATATGAGAAAGTATGACATTAGTTCACTGCATCTATGTTACAAAAGGCTCCAAAAACCAATCATGAAAAGAGATGGTGCAACAGTTGGATTTTGGGCTTCTGTTGAGTTCAGAGGTTTGAACCCTCGCTCGAAATTTAGCTTGTGTCTTATGTTTGTCTCCACCCAAGAGCAACCATCTGAATCTCCTAAAGGTATCTTCCAATTTTACCTCAAATAAGATAGAATTGGGGTTACAACATCACTGTAAAACAACTGGTTTCAACTCAAAGCAAGGTTATCAGTCATGCATTCAAACTTACAATACAACACAACAAACTCACTGGTTCACTTTGAATTGTTTGTATTTCAATATAACCTTGTACTAACCATTAGGTGTTCCCAGGTAATAAATTCCTAAGAACATTCTGAGTTTACATAGTTACACAGGACTTGGTTCTAAAATAAAACTAAAATATTTCAAGCAACAGCTTTATGAAAAAAATCGCAAGAGTAGAGATGGATGAAAACATGATACGTTTTAACTGAAAAAAAAAACAAGAGATTTGGACAGCAGTATTAAATGAACAATTTAAACAAAAACATTAGTAACTTACTTGTTCGAATATTTAATTTGACAGCATCACTTTTCTTGAAGTCAAATGTAGTAACAATTTCAATTTGATACTCTTTACCAGGTGACAACCCTGTGAACTTGGCTTCAGTGCAAGCTGGTGTGTTGATAGTCTGTTCAGGATCATCTCCCTCAGGAGGATCTAACTTCAGTTGGTAGCCGTTCAAAGTCCCTTCTGGCCGACTCCATGACACCTCAATGGAAGTAGTAGCTGGTATTGAGACAGCATCCATTACAGGTAGTAAAACAACTTCAGGGATTTCTAAGAGTTAATATTAAATTATAATTAGTACAATTCACAATCACATTAATAAAAAATATTTGAAAAAATGTTAACAAATCACATTAAATCACTATCACCAATGCTCAAATTTAATCATATTTTTTATCATTTAATTAACATTACTTACTTGTTGTTTCTCTGAGGACTAACTTTTCACTCTCTGCTTCATCACTTAGTGCCATTATCTCAACACGATACTTCTTGCCAGGTGTGAGGCCTTGGAATTCAGCAGATCTCTTAGTAACATCCATTTTGATAGATGACTTTTTGGAGTCAGATGGAGTTAATTTGACCTTGTAACCAGTGCAATTTCCTTCATCGGGTGAGTCCCAATTTACAGTTATTGAACGAAAGGATGCTTTTATTTCACCATTAGTTGGTGGATTTGGTTCTAAAAGAACAATCAATATAAAATAATAAATAAATTCATTCATATGCATTTATTATAAAATGCCTAAAAATTATATTTTAACAGCAAATAACTCAAGGATTAAATGGGAAAAAACCCAATAAAACTCCATGCAGAATGGTTTTTTACATGGTTAAGAATAGAACTTGTTTGCTGTCCAAAAATAATTTTATGAAAGGTTTTGTTGTTTGTACTGCCAGCATTAGTGGCAGATTTGGTTCTAATAGTACAGAATATTTAATAAATATATTCATATATACTTGGGGAAAACACTGAAGGTTTTGCTATTGTTCAAAAAATTAAGATCAGCTCATTTTCCGCATTTTTTAAAGAAGTTTTTCCAGTCTTATACATTCATCCTTGTAAAAACAACTGCTGTAACTCAAAATCGTGAATAATGGATCCAAACAATCGACAAAGACAAATTTAAAAGCAATAAACAGTTTCAGCTGTATCACATATAAAATGCCTAAAAAATATAATTAAACTGCAAGTGCCTTACTTGAAGTAGCACTGATTGTAACAGCATCCCCCTCTAGATCCTGGTTCAGTGAGATGATGTCAACAACGTACTCTTTTCCTGGAGTGAGTTCTCTGAACTCAGCTTGAGTGATGTTTGGATTCTTTATGGTAATCACTGGGTTTTCAATTTTGGCTGGCATACATTTGACACAGTAGCCTGTTAATTCGCAAGCTGGCTTCTTCCATTTTACTATCATAGTTGTTGTTCCTACTTCCACTTCTTCTTGACTGACTGGCTTAGGAACTACAATGAACAGAAACAACACAAATACATTGACATTCTTCCTCTTGAGCCTAGTTTTGTACATGTTATCACCAACAGCTTTTGGCTTAGATGGTTGGTTGAATTGCGGCACCTTCTTGATTGCATCGGGAACATCGAAGCAGTGTAAAAATTTTTAGTGAAAACCCTGTAGCAACAGTGCACAGATTTTATGGAAACCAGGTTTAACTTGTAACATGTAAATAACAGCTTTCGACAATATTATGAATGTGTTAATATGTATTTTTAATCACCATTCTAAATACAGATTCCCTTCCGCTCACCCCACTCCCACCAACCCCCGAAAGGTTGTGACTTACTTGTAGGCGGTTTCCCTGGAAGCAGCTCTCGTCTTATCTTCTTGTCAGCTTTTTCAACATCAAACCATCTGTTGAGAGATTGAAAAACGTAATGGTAATGGTCACCGTGGCTGTGTGCTTGTATAGCACATATTACAGAATGTAATTTAATTTAACCCTTTTAATAAATTGTTAATCTTCTGAAATCTCTTTGGATGATAATGAAACCAAATGTTTTAAAAGTTTATTTTGATAAAATAATATTTAGAATCCTTATTTATATAGATATTAATACAGAGAAAGAACAGTTTTTAGGTTTTGCTTCATACCCACAGAGCATCTGTTTCTGGTGAGATGAGACGCTTACTTTTTCAAAAAAAAACTATTATAAATCATTTATATAATTATTGGCTGTGTTCGACTGGTCGTTTTTCGTTAAACCATGCCAACCTACGCAATCCTACTTAACGAAAACAACCAGCCGAATAGAAAACTTGTAAATACTTGACAAAACAAAATGGATGCATAGTTACCGCGATACACGCTGAGTAATCAAGATTGCTTCAGTTTGTGGCAATATGGTTTTTTTTTAAAAACATATTTTCCTCACGTTTTTGAATTGTTAGCCTACAATTATTTTCTGTCTTCATGTGGGTAAATATTATAATTTTTATTTTCTGAAATTTAATCTGAATTATATTAACGCAAATGTTGTTTCTAAACTCACTAATCGGCCATGTTTGTTTTGGTCACATGGGATAACTTAACGCTGATTAACGCACTCTGGTTACGTTAATTTTCGTTGTCAACAAAGTCTATTTTACAAACCAGTCGAAAGAGAATGATACTCAATGAAAAATCGTAGTCAACGAAATGAACCAGTCGAATATGCCCATTGATATTTCGTTAAAGATCTGTCCAGATTATTACATTTTCTTTGAAGAAACTCTTGTATACACATATATAGTCATGATGTGATGACTATATTTTGTCAAACAAAATTGAGAGTCTGGACATGGCTTAACATCTATCAACACAATTCCAAGGCAGAAATAAATCAGTTTATCCAGGTAAGTATTAGAAATACACTCTATCAACACACATACCCGGCAATTACAGGATGCTAATTTTTTACAACCACGATTCACAAAATATGTGTCACGACCCAAAAGTGGGTCGCCAAACTTTTGCGTTCGGTTTTAGCAGGTTTGTTAAAAACATTCAATTCATGTGCTATTTTATACAGGTGATGTAATTTCTTAACAGATCTGATATAATGGTAACCACACGGCTAAAATCCAGGCTAAAGTTTATTAAACATATTATTTAAAGATCAAAAATATTCTGCAAATAAAGCTAATCCTTCAGGACCAGTTGGGCTTAAGTCTCTTGTATTTTGTTATAAGTTGTTAGAAGTCTTATTTTCTCATTTTAACGTAAAGGGATGATAGAAAGTGGCTGATCCAAAAGGTGCCCTTCCCTAAATTTTTCCAAATATCAAAAATAATTATTCAAATTTAGGTCTGAGAGTGCTATATATATTACTGTATTATGTTTACTAATACAGTATTCACATGGGGATTCGGTTATCAGGAAGGAAATGTGTGGTGTTGTTTATTATAGTGACCTTAATAGTGAACTTTCTAGGACAGGTCTTATCTAGGTTTCTGTGTTCTTGTCAAATCAGTATGGCATCATATTTCATAGACTTGCTTTTCATTTTTATCTTTAGCTCAATACTCATCCCATCGTTTCTCCATACCGGATTTACTTGCTCTTGCATGGTTAACTGCCAAACGATAACGGGGGCAGAGGCACAAAAACTATCAGCAAAATTTGATGTTACATCCATGTCAAGTATTCATTCTTTAGTCAAATTTCAGAAATCTTAAAGCATTTTGTGTACATCTACTATCCAATTATTAGATATGTCACGGCTAGTGTGGAAAATCCAAAAATATTGGGAAGTGGGGTTTATCAGGTTTTGAACACAAAATTCTGAGATTGAGAAGCAAGTATCTAAACGACTAAGCTACAATTTAAATAAAGTATCAATTTATGAGGCAGTTGCCTACTCACTTCCTGCATGGAAAGTACACTTCATTTTTGGCTGCCTTTGAATCCTTGATGGTCACCCTTTCAACAAACCAACCATCACCAGCAGACTTCCCATCATGCCCAAGAACAACCTTTGATATCTTTCCAAGCCATACAGCCTCGATTTCAAATACATCCATCTGACCCGATTTGAATTTTTGTTCATTGTTCTTGGATTTTACAAGTAGCCTCCTGCCAGTATCACCATATTTACCATGAATATTCATGAAAACATTTGCATTAGTTTCAGCCTCTTCACTGCTACCGGTCCATACCATTACATAATACTTAGTAACTACAAGATAAATAATTATTCTATTAATTCATCAATTACTACTCACCAAATCATTGTTATTTCATTCATTCATTTATTACATTTTATTGTACTGTCTTAAAATATATTGTTTTGTAATGTTGCATTGCACCTATGTAATTACTGTTTTTACTTTCATGTCTATGTGTTTGGATATGATATGATATTTTATATCATCTGACAATAAACAAAGTCTGCATAATTTACAAATTTCATCAAAAAAAAAAAAAAAAAAAAAAATTCCAAAAGGAAAAATAATCCAAGAAATCTTGTAGAAAAGAAACTTTTCGAAAAATACACAATCTTTGAGAATGCATGTGGCGTAGATTATATCAATTTCAGTCAAAAATGGAGCTCTTTATTCGTAAACTGTCGAATTAAAGAATGAGGACTATTGTTCGGGAGACGGTCCAAACATGGCGCCCTGGGTCAGACTGTTTTTCGAAGGGGTATTCTATTTCGGGAACAAAGGCAATCAGTCGATTTATCCAGGTAAGTATTCACACAACAGACTATTGTGAAAGGTATTGATTACCAGTATTGAAGATCAGTATCATCCATATATATTTTGTCTAATAAGGTGAATTAATATTGGGCCCAAATATTAAGCACTTGCTTTTTAAAAGAAGGAGTGATTGCGGAAGTGTTAGTGAACAGGGAGTATGTTAGCATCAAACAATATGTGAGAAATGTTGTTTCAATTAACATGTATAACTTCAATATTTTCAGGAGGAAACTTTAGAGATATTTATTGTTTTCATCTAGGTATAAGAATTCAGTTAAAATCATCACTAGAAAACCGGAACATGTCCATAGGAGTAAAGTACCGATTGTTTGATGCGCAAGTTATTTTTTCTATATAACAGTGAACTTTGGGTCATGAAAATGTTACGAAAATGCTGAACATTATATTAACAAATAAGGTTAGTAACGCAAGATTATGCAGCACGACGAATCGTGAAAAATGGAGCAGAAAAATCAAACACAGGAGATTAAAACGGTACAGATAAATAATTAGATTACCAGACGAAACACCAATCAAAAAAACAATGGAAGAGCTAAAACGGAGAGCAAAATGACCAGTAGGAAGACCCAAAAATAATTGGGGGAACAAAATTTAAAAAGACCTGAAAGGACCTGTAAAAACAAACACTATAACAAATCATTCTACCTTGAACAGAAACAAATGGAAACAAATTATTTAAAGCGTAATGTTGGAAGACGAAACATGTTAAGAAGATGAGAAGATAATAATTCAGAAAATAAGAGTACAAACACAAACTGTTAACATACTTGGAAGAGGTTTTTTGTCTGGAATGACTGCAGGAAGTTCCCTCCATGTATCCAGGTCATCATGTTCCCTTGACAGCCAGCGATCAAACTCAAAGTTCAGCTCGCCACCTTCAAATAGATCGACCATCTTCACTGTCTTTAAGTACCAGCTGCCTTCTGATTGTCCGTTGTTATGACCAATACGGATCTTGTACAACATTCCAATATCACCAAGATTTACCTAAAAAAAAAAAAATAAGACATATTTCACAATATGATCATTGTAGATTTGAATCTAAATTTTGAATGAATCATCAACAATATAGAATATACATACATTACAAAAAACAATTGAAAACAGCAATACAATCATACATGCTTCCATTATTTTCTTTCATGCTCGAGGGGTAAGTTTCAAGAAAAATTTCAAAATTCTTGAGCTCCCCCTTTGACCCTGTCATCCCCAAAATTTAATCATCTCTTCCTTAGACCCTGTTCTGATTTGACAATTTAAAATACCTTTTTTAATATACAGAAATATGACAATTGTGTAGCATAAATTTGCTAATAAGTTCCATACTAGTGTATATTTTTTGTTATTTTTAGCCTGTATATGAATTTAAACAATGTGCCTGAGGCAGACTATACCAATCTCCTCAAAGAATAAATAGTTTTTGTGAGGCTTCAAAAGATTGCACTTACCTTGAATTCTTCCATTGTTCCAACTTGAAACCCTTTTCCATGTTCTGGAAGTAGCACTACATCTTCCACACCTTTGTCACCATATGCATAGAGAGTTACCTTTGAAAGTGTACCTGAGTCTGAGTTGCTACCAGTAGTTACATAGATTTGCCAATCATTGGCTAAAGACAATATAATGTACAAAAAGTAATAATAGATTTTAAACACAACCTACTATGATCTAATGTTATTGTCTAATCTATTGAATTGAATGTAAAGCAAATACAAAACTTAAGCTGGGCACAGACCGCGCTGTACAATGCTCTTACGACTGACGGCCAACAACTCCATTTCCACTGTGTGATAGCGTCTGACGATGTGACACCGTCTGATGGCTAACTGAGCTGATTGTCGTTAAAAACGATCCATTTTGAAAATCCTCAACTCATTGCATTCACCATGAAATCATGTTAAGTGATCAAATACAATGAAAAGTAGAAATTCCTACAAATTTGTTATTAATTCATGTCTGCAAACTCTTTTTTTATATCTCAATTTCTCAAAGTAAGGCCAATATTCCAATTTCTACTTCTCCCACCTGATTAACTTAGCTATAGATTTTCTGTAAAAATAAAATCATGTTTTATTTTATATATTTGTGTACTTCATAAAAATATATTTTCTGTGATTTTAATAATAAACCAACCTTGAACTGTTTTAATTTCTGTTAGTTCTAATTCTCTCTCAATTGCATTGTCATCCTGACCTTCATCAAGCCATCTGAAATAAACATTAATTTAATTTCAGTTTGTTTCTAACAAAACTAACAAAATTACAGTGTAAATAAAGCATGGGCAGTTCTGGATATTTTAATAATTGCTCTGGCATATTTCTAATGAAACCTAGCTCTAATTACAATGCATTCCATTCCCACTCCCCCCCCCCCACTTAAAAAAATCAAATTCTATTGCACTATGAGTTTTCCTAAGCACGCCCATCAAGTACTCATAGCAGCAGCTTAAGCACATATTTAATGTTTGACTTCCAAAATGACATTTTTAAGCACATAATATTTCTATGGTTTTTGAATCAATTTTTTATAATGCACCTACAGCATCGCCATCATTTTGCAGAAGCCGATCCTGACATGTTGCACCTCTATTTTGCATGAGCATATAGTCATTTTGAGGTGATAATACTACTGTATTGTTCATATCTGCCTTGTCTAGATAGCACTGTTTTTTGGAAAGGATAACCTCCTAAGAATTGGTTCCATTGGGATCATTCTGGTGGTGAATCGGGTAGTACACTGGGAGGGCCATATTGCACACAAAAGACCAACAGCTAAACGTCTCACTCAAAAAAACGGTGCATTATCATACCTTGTATTTTAGCCCTACATCTAAAACACAGGAACTGAGCTAATCTCCTTTAGTCTAGTCTACTTAAAACTCTAATATTGTTCTTTAACTTTATGGTGAAAGTAGGAAAATACCTGTTGCATGTAAAGATGTACTCTGTTTTAGCATCTACGCTTTCCTTTATGATGACTTGCTTTAAGTACCATCCTGCACCAGCACCCTTCCCATCATGCCCTACAATAACCTTACTAGGCTTTAATACAGTCACTGATTGTAGCTCAAACACATCAATCTACATAAAAAATTAAATTAAATGGCTACACATCCATTTTGATCCTGATTTATATAATAAGCAATATCCTCTTGCAATATAAGTTCAATAAACCAAGCAAATGTTAGTATGCACACATGAGAATGGATTTCTGTCTGCGAAAGGTGACAAACGTTGAAAATGTTTTAACATACTTGTCCTTCTTGGAATTTCTCTTCTTGGTTTGAACGATGTAGAAGCCTTTTACCTGTATCTCCTTTCTGACCAAATATGTTGAGGTATATGTTGGCATCGGTATCACTGCCTGGCTCGGTACCTGTGTGTACCTCAATATGGTAGTTATGAACTAAAAAGAAAGAAATGTAATTACATGATGTTCATTTTTTCTTCTTCTAGTGCAGGACCAGATGAGCTACTGTATACATATTTTACAAATTCAAATCAACCTCTTTAATCTATTTCAATATAATTAATATTATTTAGTAAACATCGTAAATTGTTTGTATCTCCCCAGGTATGTTCTCATATTAGTGATGAAATAATTTTGAGTGACTCTAAATGATTTGAGTGTTAATAGTCAAAGTCATCATAATAACAGCAGTACCTGGAAGAGGTCTTTTGCCTGGCCTGACTGCTGGTAGCTCCCTCCACACATCGCCATCATCTTCATTTCTAGAGAACATTCGGTTCTTGAACTTGAAGAACAGGTGTTCATTCGTTGCCATGTTCTTCATTTTTACTTGATTGAGTTGCCAGGATCCTTGAGTGGGATTTTCAGATTCAAGTCCAATTCTGATTTTGTATATGTCACCAATATCTAATAAATTGACCTGAAATATTCAACATCAATTATCAAAAGTTTCAGCAATTTCAACATACTGTATTGAGCTTAGTTAATTATTATTTTACCTAAGGGCTTACTTTAATCATTCTGAATTTAAAATAAGAAACAAAATATTAAATAACAAAATAAATTATATCTGCTTTCTTCATCTAAAATCTGTATGATTTATTCCCAATGAAAATGTAAATTATTAAATTTAAATTGTCTAAATCAGACATCAATAAACCAAGTACTCATTTTATATATACTTGCGAAAAGGCTGTATAGATAATCAGTCTATGTTTGTGAAACTCAGTATAAGTACTGCCATATAATATAATATTATGTTCTAAGGCATAATGTTGAATATCAATATTATATGGTTTTATTAATGGTAAGATGCCTAAAGAGGATGGTGCTATGGTATATTTCTGCCAGATTTGTGCAGGGGTCTTGATGGTAAATCGTAACAAACATTTTGTCTTTACTCAAATTAAGATATGTTGCTGGGGAGAAAACATAACGGGACCAACATCTAACCCCAATTAACGACCATTTAGCCAGAAGCACAATGCCTTAATACCACTACATGCCCTGCCTTCACATGAAGTAAAATCTTCATTTTGAGATCATTGGTACAAACATTTTACCTTGAATTCATCTTCTTGACTAGGCTGAAATAGTTCCCCTCCTGTACCCAACTGAAAGGGTTCAGAGACCTTTTTATCACCATACACAACCAGTACGACAGTCTCGTTAGTACCCATTTTACCAGTTTTAACAAACACTTTCCAATCACCATCTGATTAAAAGAAAATATTTTAAAATATCAAAATGTGAATATATTACCATTGGAACATAGACATACAACAATATAATTGAAACCTAAATCAATCTACAGTATATAAAATAATACAAATCTTTTTTTTCTTTTCAAAATGTAGGTTGCAAAGGATTTTGGGAGTTTTCGGAAATATACACAAATTGTTAACACAACTCCCATTATTATTTGACAATGGGCAGCATTCCATTTGAATTATCTATCCAATCAGAATCCTTAAATGTTCATACAATTATATCTTTTATCCAATCAACAGCATGCACTGTTATATCTATCAAATCCCATTTATCTTTAAAAAAATACTAACAAAAATTACCTTCAAATTGTTCAACCTCTGGTGATGTTAAAGGTGGAGTTGCCACTGGATCTGGTTTCTTCTTTTTTCCCCCTATTAAAACAACAACTTAAATTAGTACAAAATAAGATACTGGTATATTTAGATCATACAGATCTGACAGCACACAGCTTTTGGATAAACAAAAGGATTCAGCAACATAAACCTCACAAAAGAAGCACATCTCATACAAATCAAAGATCTACATAGTTTGTTATAATCACACTGTGTTACGATTCATAAATTTTGTTGCGATCTTTGGTATATACGTATAAACTTGCATACTGTATATAATAGTTGCTTATCAATGTACATACAGTATTCTATTCTAATTTATTAGATAATATATTATAAAGATATTGCTATTTAATCAACAGCAAGGGACTTGCTACCAGTCTCGCCACATACAACAAATGTGATGCTAACTTTCATTATGAGAGTTTCATTTAATTTATTTTGTCCAAAGAACATTAAAATTGACAAAAACAAGATAACAGAGAGCAAAAAACAACGCTCAGTTGGCCGGACAGCATTGCCAAAAAGTAAACTGAATCACTGTCTAGTGGCTCTCTGATGCCAATGAGAACATTAAATTACAGTAGCATAAAATATTCAAGTAAAATAGGCCTATCAATAAAAGGGAGTGTTACAGGATATGAACCCAGCCCCGAGATTAAACGGCAATCACCAAGCTACAGCTCCACTCCATTTGAAAGTACAGCATGGTACATAATCTTCACTGACTAAGTATGCATATGCACTACAACACATATGGTATGCTTATACACATCCTCAGCAACATAGTTATACAAAGCAAAATAGGCAGTATAAACAAAACCAATAGAAATTCCACAAACGGTGAGCTTTTTTCAACAAACATACACACACACACTCAATAAACTCACTGGGCCCAAGTAAATATTTGGATATGGCACTGAACATATGGAAGTTGCAGTATGGTGCCAACCTTGGTAGTGCATTGGATTGTATATTGGAGACAAGCACATGCTTTTTCCAAAGGGTGTATTTGTTCTTTAACTTACATATGACCATGTTGTTTTGGGACTAATACTAACAGCTTAGATATCTCAGAAGAGAGATTTGGTATTCATTTTACAGGGAGAGCAGACTGGTGGAACAGAGATAGGGACACATGGTTTAATACGCAAACATACTCATCCCTATAAAAACCCAACATAATCACTAACACACTCACATACACGCCCACATACAAACCAGCAGTCCTTTACACACCACCTACATCCAAGCCAACAGACTGACCATCATACTCAACCACACAAAAACAAATACAAAAATTAACATACTAACAAACACTGCGATATACAATTAGCAACTTTTGTTTTATTATTGACAGCATCGCACCTAATATTTCAAATGCTTCACTCCTTAGTGTTGGGATCACTCACATTAAGCACAGATCTAAGAATTTCAACCTATACTGTACAAACCACTGTAAATCACAAAAAAAAAACACTCTGGAGGACTCCCTCTAGAGATTGAAGTTTCTACTTGTAGATTTGGCAGGTACAGGGAGGTATCATAATACCACCTTGGTAAGCATAAAGCAGGTTAATAGCCTGCTGGTAAACATCCTAATTGGCTATACAAAATGAAAAAGAGCTTGTAACAGTCCCTATTATCTAAAAGCCAAAATCCAATGCACATCGATTGATGACAGTAAAGCAACATCATTGAAAGCTGAAGCAAGCAAAGCACAGGTAGACATAAATCACAACCTTCATCTTCTTCCTTATCTGGTGGAATTGAGGCTCTTCTTTTTTTCCCCAGTTTTACTGGAAGCATCACTCTCACTGGTGGAAGAGGTGGTGGCGTTGGAATTCTTTGTACCACTGGAGGAGATGGTGTTCTTTCTTTGACAGGAGTAGGTGGAGTTGGCGTTCTCTCTTTGACTGGTGGAGGAGTTGGTGTTGGAGGAGGAGGAGTTGGTGTTTTCTCTTTGACTGTTGGAGGGGGTGTTGGTGTTTTCTCTTTGACTACTGGAGGAGTTGGTGTTCTCTCTTTGACTGGTGGAGGCGTTGGTGTTCTCTCTTTGACTGGTGGAGGCGTTGGTGTTTTCTCTTTCATTGGTGGAGGCGTTGGTGTTTTCTCTTTGGGTGGAGGCGGAGTGGGTGTTTTCTGTTTGACTGGTGGAGGAGTTGGTGTTTTCTCTTTCACTGGTGGAGGGGGAGTAGGTTCTTTTACTGGTTCTTCTATAATTGGGGTTATTGTCCTTGGAGGATCTTCTGCTTCCGGCACTTCTACTTCAGGAGATGGAGAGGGCGTTGGAATCTTCTCAGGGCTTGGTGATTTGACTGGTTCTGGTTCATTCGGTATCACAGGAGGTGTGACATTCAATTCATTTACAGGAGGTAAAAATGGCAATATTGCTGCTTCAGGTATAAATTCAAACAAATCGTGAAAGAGACATTGAAATGATACTGATACATCGGGAGGTTTTGCCATGCGTTGTGTATGTGTGCTTTTCATTATTATTCCATGTGTTTAGTACAATCAAATAGGCTATGTTAGTGTCACGTTGTACATGCATGTTAACTGTACTAATGTTAATCTAAATGGTTGTCAAAGCTAAAGCCCTGTCCAGACTATCAAATTTTGTTTGACGAAAAACATGTGACATATCTATATATGTTCATGATGACATCACATCATGCCCATATATAGGAACATCATGATTATATATGGGCATACATTAGTTTTTTTGTCAATGAAGATAGTTTTCATGCAGTTAACAGAAATTAGATATGCACGTTACAAAGTATTGAGCTAAAATCTAGTGTACATATCCTTTAATTTATTTATTAGGGAGATAGAATACCCAATGGTCTCAAATCGCAACACAGTCTGCATCACAAAATCTGAGGCCTAAATTATTTCTAAAGTAATATTATGTTTCTTGAGACAATATCACTATGTGTACATGTTGTTCTATCTGAGATAGTACACATGGCAAAACCTCTCTGTTTTAGTAAAAAAGGTGAAACATAACATTAGATTGTGAATGTAGTTACTACTGGCATGCAATACATAAAGTGGAATATTTAGTGAGTGAGTGAAATGATTGAAAAATATAAAAAATTACATAAGTGCTCATATACTTATCCCAAAAATAAGTCTTGTTTTAAAGATATAATTGGCAATGACTATTAAGACATTTTTTAATATTAGCAAACTGGGAGAAAAGATGGTGCAACACTCAATTTGACCCCAGCTGTTTTAATACTTCAAAAACTTGCATCTTATAAGCTGTTCCTGATTATTTCTTCAAACACCCTTTCAATGTCTTTTAATAATCATTTGTACAACATTGTTTTACTCCTGAGCCTAGCTTCAATGAAAACATCAGGAACAGCATATTCATAATTATAAAGAATAATTAAAATTAATATACAAAGTTATTATCGGACTGTTACTTGAAATGGATACAAATGCCAACATTCGTCCTAGTTATGATGGTTATCAGATGCTCTTAAAGAGCAGTTTTGCAGGTAAGTATTGAAACATATATGAGATTTAAAGTGTTTGATCAAAGTTAATGTCTACTTTAATTTCAAAATTGACAAGTCAAAATCTTGTTATTGTAATGACAGCCTTACATCAGGTTTAAAAGACTGATTTTTAGAGCCACTTCAAAAAAAAAAAAATTAAAAATAATTATAATTTATAGGGTTTCATCAAAATCAATGAATACATGAAGTTATTAATTCATGAGATAATGAATGAAACAAATGCACCTTATCATATACTGTACCATGGACATTATACAATTTAAAATTTACTACATGTTACTCCTCTAAATATGATAAGGACTTACGTTTCTTTTTTGGTGGCTCTTCATCCTTTTGTTTTCCAACTGGATAAATCAATGTAGAGAAAGAATTATTGTGCAGAAGTTAGAATGACCAAACCTTACCTTAGATGAGTAGGAAATGTTAACTAATAAAAAACTTTCTTAAATAAAAAGTGAGAAGTAACTGATTTTAACATGAAAATTAAAGAATATATTTAGATTTACAACCAACCAGTGGAGTGCAAATTCTCTTGAATTTTTTTCAAATATAAACCATAAAGGTGATAATTATGCTCTTTTAATAAAGTAATTCGCTATATTCTCACTGCTGGCACCAATAATTGTTAATGATATTAACAAATTTATAATTATTTTATCAATGTACGATTCCTACAGGTAGCTATCAATAAGTGGTATAATTTAGTTAATAGTAGTATGCAGGTGTGCACTAAATGGCAATTTACATAGATAGAAAAAACAAGTGCACTGAGTGTCAAAAAATGTGACGGCTTGAGTAATTTTTAAAACATGCAATTATGAATGTGCTAATAGTGGTTCTGGTGGTTATCAAAACAAGTGGAGTGAAAATTTGTAATTAATTGATACATACACTGTATAACTTCTGGATACAGCCGCACATTATTTTCGCCGGTGTCAACCGTCGGCTTGGTAACACCATCTGGGAGAAATCCAACACACTGGCCCTTGGCTTGCATGGATGTCAAAGTCACGAATCCCTTTTCTTTGTATTTTGTCACAACAAAATGGCAAAACTCATCTCCAGTGCCCTAATAATATATGATTTTAAACACAAGGCAACAATAAAATTTTAGCTTTATTTATTTACAGTAAAGGCGAGCCATTTTAAACGTTGTTTAGTGAACTCGCCACCAGCAAATAATGATGATTAAAAATTTTAAAAATATATTTTTATTTTTTGACTAATTAGCATACTCGCCACCACGAAAATTTCAGAAAAAATTAAAATTTTTCTTTATTTTTATTACGCCCTCTGCTGCCTTGAAATCTCCAAAGATAAGATATGTATATTTATTCCTAATTATATAAATTTAAAGCATTTAACCATCCCCATTACTACACTCTTTATATTTACCAATAAAATTTCATTTTCTCTTGTGCCTGGAAGTTTTTGGCAAAACTAATTGCTAAATAAGAAAACAAAACTTTATTTTTATTCCACCCTCCTCTGATGATCTCTAAAAAAATTAAGTTTGTGAAATAAGGTAAAAAAAAAGTATCGATAAAATAACAGTATTTTCCTAGCAAGACATGATATTAACCAATACAAATAACAATATAACAACAATAATGAATATAATATATGGATGGTTTTACTTACAGTAACATTAAACATTTTGTAATTTTACTTAAGCTTTCAAAAATGATTTTAAGCTAACCTGTCCATTACAGTATCCATTCTTTATCTGTAGGAAGTTTTTTGGCCACTGAATGCTTTCAAACATACGAACACCACCATCTTTGACTTTGTGAATCCGCCAGTATGCATCCTCACTCTTGCCTCCTGTCGCCATGCATATACCATCTTGATCAACGGTAAAGACTTGAATTCTTGATGTATAGAATAACACTATACCATCATCACGAAAAGCACCCTAGAATTGCAATAATTACACAAATGATTAAAAATTGAATCCTGTTTATGTGAACATCTGAAAATTATTCATGTGTTTACTGAATGCTTTACACGTGCAACATATTATTATTTAGTTTTATACATTTAACACTGTATTTCTTAAGAGTAGTGTTGGATGATTTAAAGGGTTAAAAATGGTTAAAATGATTTAATGGTTTTAAATTTGTAAAGAGCAAAAATAGAAAATTCTCTTATACGCCGTAAAAAACAGATGGAAATAAAAAATGAAAAAAAAAAAGAAGATAAAATCAGACTTTTGAGATAAAAAAAAAAAAAAATCATAAAACAAATAACAAAATTGAACCTTGACATAACAGTGGAGCTGCCTTGATGGGCCAATCGAAGGTCCTCTAGAATCACCAGGCTTGCCAGACTGTAGGAAAGTAGCGATCTGTACATTACCCCTTGCTGCTTCAAGAACCACAGTACGGTCTGGTTGGATACGAACTTTGAACTCACAGTTTGCTCCTCCCTTACCCTGAAAGAAGCATATTCCACATAGATGAATGTTGTTTACAATATGATTTATGGATTTTGATTGATTGTTATATGCAATAATAGGATTATAAAGAATAATAGCATTATTAAGAAGATTAATACTTACTTGACCAGTGATTCTGTTGGTTTCGATACAAAGATGACGATCTGGAACAACGACATTTCTGAAGACGTAGATATTGTTTCGAGTTTTGTCAGCCTCCCAAATAGCTAAAAAATATTTATAAAACAGTTGGTGGTAGTAACTCAAAAACACTGGGTTTTTAATAAAGATTAGTAGTTTCACTACTGACATAAGACTAGCTTTGTACAAGCAAAAGCTTGTACACTGCCCGATCTAGAGGTGAAAGGTGATATAGAGTACTAGGGTTACGTCACGATACCATGTGATACTACTCCTTGCTATCGTTGCAAAATGCGTTCAACCTGACGCCATTTTCGCTACGGGCTAACAAACCATTGATTCTAAATTCTAACGTAATTATTAAGATGTTGTATCTTCTTTCTTTGTAAATTTTAATTAATGATTAAGTGTGTGTTCGATAACTAATATAATGCAAGCTTTTGTGTTTTTAGTACATTTTGATAGTAAAATATTAGATTTTAAAATGCCTATTCCAGAAAGCCTATGAAGTCATTTAGGCGTAATGAAAGGTAACCTACGTCCATTGACAACAGAGAGTGCCACCTGGCATCCTGACGACACGACTGCTGTACTCTATTAAAGTAAGTCACCTTGTGTGTACAAACTAAGCAATCTTCACATTGTAGTAAGCCAAGCAAGCTAATTAACATGCATGTATAAAACAATGGTCTAAGTCTAATGTGTATCAGAATAAACAGTTGATCAAAATTTCACAAGTCTATTGTTGGTCAGGGGTCAGTTCTTTAATGGATAGATTATGGCTGATAATATTTTGCTCCATGATCTAAAGATCAAGATATGCAACTGTAAATTGTAGATTTATTCTATAGTGGGAAAACCACATAGTCTTTAAGATTCACTTAAGAAAACACTTTGTACCACCAAGGATAAAAAAGTTTCATAATTATTATATTATAGTATTGCTATGAACATATTTCAGTTTTTGTGTTCCACTTTTTTTCTACTTTGTAATTTATCTTTCTAGACAATTTTCCAAAGTTTTTGCTTGTAAATAATAGCAACCATAAGATCAAGGAACCTCAACTATTGCTGCTGGGAATGTTACAATAATTACCAACACACTTTCAACCACAACCACAAAAATCATTTGAAGGTCAATCGGTACGTGCCATCCTTATATACATTTAGCCCAAGCTTACGTAATTCGTAATCACTACAACAATATTTCCCCTTTCTCACCTGTTTTGTCTTTTCCATCAATATCACCTGTAGCTTCCACTGATCCATCAGGTTTCAGTTTGACAGACTTTCCTGTCACCTTACTGAAGAACAGTAACTGAGAACCACGCTTAAACTTCCATTTATCCATCTCCCACTGCAAGTTAGAAAACAGTAACAATGCATCAAAAGAAGTCAATCAGTAATCTTCATAAGAATGACAACAAAATAATATAGGTAAAATAAATAATGAAAAATTTAATTATATAGAAAAAAAAATTTCATAATAATTTTAGACATTTATACATTTTTGATTATTATGAAATTGTAGAAAATTTATGGTAATTTGTGAAATGTGTGCATAAAAGCATTAAGCCCTGTGCACACTATGAAATTATATTTGACAAAAACATGTGACATGCCTAAATATGGTCATGATGACATCACATCATGACCATATATAGGCACATCATGACTATATATGGGCATAATCTGGAAAGGGCTATAGAAACTTGCAATATTATTGCAAATAAAGACACTTATGTCACATTATTTTGATATATAATTTACAAACAAAGATTTTAATAGTCTTCTTGACATTTGAAGTACTGAGACCTTACCTTCTTAATATGGGGCTTGCAACTTTTATCCAATTATTTATTTATTTATTTATTTATTTTTGCTTTATTAACAATCGTCCAACAGGAACTCTTAGTTCCCACTTACAGGCGAAAATTGCAATAAACATCAAAAATATAAGCAAAACTATAAATCACAAGATATATAAATATTATTATTATTCCTATAATTATAATTAATATTGCTATAGTTACTATAAATATGTAAATTACTTAAAATTATTTGAAATTACAATTAACGTTTAAATAACACTTAAAAAATTTACAAGTTACACTTAAAACACACAACACTAATAAGAAAAATAATTATTAAATTGACATTTAAATATATTTAAATAATTAGAAAAGATATAAACATTTTGTAACAAAATCATTATACAAACTAGATAAAACCATTTTTACAGACGTAACACGACAAAACTATTAGAAATTTACATGAATTACATACATAGGCAGTTGTAAGTTAACTATATAATGAATGGTTACGAATAAATTATCCTAGTTTGATATGATATTTATAACAAATGTATGTGTTAATAGGCTTACCATTTCTTTTTCCACTGTAAGCAGATGGTGAACAAAACAGGCAAATGGTTAGCAATCTCCCAGGTAAATGGTGAAAAAATGAAGCATGAAACATGCAGCTGCAAAAGATTAGTCTTCTATTTTCAAGTATTAGGCTAAAAATTATTACCGTAGTTCCATGGAAGCCCATCTCAGGTAGTAAGCCCATCCCTGCTGTACATCCAAATCTATGTACCAGGGTTTCCTTGGGCAAAAAGCCGAGTAATTAGGCTGACTTTTGTAAAAACTCAAAGACAGCTGGCTTGAATTAGGCATGCAATGTGATAAAGGGAGTTCCCAGCTAGCCCACCCTCCAAAATCTATTAAATTTTGTGTACAAGGGGGAGGGTGCATGCTTATACCAAACAGTAATACATTTGCTTATTAATGAAAAATCTTAAAGCCAAAAATTGCAAGCACCCTGAAATATATACCGTACATTGATATTTGAATATTAACGAATAAATATATGTAGTTTGCTCAACATAATTGCAAATGTGTTTATTGAAGCATGGAGTAATTATCTAAACTAATTCCTCCATGATTAAAGTTACACTGTCCATGTTTAGCTAATAAAATTGAAAAATAGAATAATGCCAAAATAATGTATATGAAAATAGATTATCTCTCATGTCATACAGTGGTATCTGTCTCTTATACACATCTAGATGTGTATAAGAGACAGGTTATAGGTCATTATATACGATTTTAC